TGCTTTCCCGTTTCCCTCAGTAAAACCCTTAAGGCCTTCTGTTTCCACAAATCCGTTCTCTGCCCTCATCCAACAACATCAGGTTACCGGGGAAACGGCAGCGTTCAGCCTGTGTAAATATTTGAAAACCAGCGCTCGCTGGTTGGCTTGAACACCGGGGGTCAACAACCGGCGCCTCAATGTCACGACCTCGGCTCACCACATGGAGCCAGGACAGAGGTCCAGACCTCTGCACTCTGCAACATGGTCTTGAAGAATTCTGGATCAATTAATGGACATTTATATATATCTTGTTCAACCATATGCAACGTTGACATTAGGTCATTAACACACAGACGTGACACTAGTTATTTAGTAAAGGGGCAACATCAGAGAATCATTGCAATGAATCAACCTCCTTTAAAAGAGCAAAGTGCAAAGGGGCCATTATGGGCTCATCGTACGTACCGACGGTCGGTGTTTGTTGCGGTTTAAAAAAAACAAAAGGGGAACGACATGGAGATGAAGGAGTATGTTGTCAAAATCCCGATCCCGGCATTCCTGCCACAACCAATCCATAACTCGGACCCATCACTCAGATCCATAACTCGGACCCATCACTCAGATCCATAACTCAGATCCATCACTCAGATCCCTCATGGAGCATCACATAACTCAACAGCTGTGTGTGCTGGAGAGGAAGACGGAGGAAGACGGAGGAAGACGGAGGTAGACGAAGGCATCTTCAGTCTCCCTTTTATATCTTCATGCACTGTGCTGGTGGAAGTCAGTTTAGAAGCTCGTAACAGACACAGAAGGGAAAAATAGCTCAAATTATTTTCTCATTATTTCTCGACAAATCAGTAACTTGTCATTCTGAGGTTATGATTGCAAAAATAGAGATTAGACTTGGACATAAAAAATAGGGAAACTAATACACAGTTCAATATGAGAAGAGCAAATGTCTCAAGAAAAGTATTTTCTTAATAAGCACATCTGTCACCAAGCTAATTCCACCAGGTGTGATCAACGACAACAACAGCAGCGGCTGCGGCTGCAGGGAGAAGCCGTGCATCATCATTTTCATTTATTTGCCCAATTTAATAATAATCAAACGTGGCGAAGATACAATGATTCACAGAGCAGGAAGCGGCAGAAAGCCAACAGCTTATTTAAAGCCTCCACCTAAGTAATATTTAAATATTACAATATCAGAGAGAAATGAATATACATAAGAAGAATGTTGGATTCATTTAATCGATCTTTGCAGGTGATGAAGATATTGGGCAAACAAACTTTATATGCCGGAGAAGGATTTGCTCAGAGAGCGCGTTCGTACGGACGCCGTCAGCGTCGTCAGCTGAGCTCAGCAGCTTGGCGTGGAAGTCGGCCACTTAAAAGCTGCGACGTCCCGCTCATCCACAACGAGAGGACGGGTGGAATATGAGGTCCATACGCGGGGCCCTCCCCAATGGCAACAGGGAAAACATTTCAAATGCGTCTAAATTGCCAGGAGGGAGCAGCTCAGCGATGTAGTTATATATAGTCATCATCCTCAGATCCTCATATTTCCATCATGTGTGACGAAAGGAAATGAAGCTCGACATTGGGAGATTTCATCACAAGCATTTCATCGTACATTTCACAATTCACCCAAAACAAATTGTTTATTCTAAACAGATAAATAATAAAAAATGATTACTAATCAATCAAAACTTAAATCATTCATAGAAGCGCAAAAAGATAGTTGAAATATTTTAGTTAAGCGTAGTTTGAATTGTTGCTTTTAGCCCGGCCGGTCTATCGCCATCTCTCTGGAGTCAAAGCTTAAGAAACACCAGTTCTCTTGTTTCCAGCTGAAATGAGCTCGAGCATCAATAACCGACATAATAAACACCAAAGTCTGACAAAAAGCTTCCGGATCAATATTTTTCCCCCAATATCAGGAAGAAATAAAAGACTAAAAGCTTATTTAATTCCCAGCTGTATTAAATAGTGACAGCTAAATAAGGTCATAGTGATAATTATTAGGGAAGCTTAAAGTGTCTAATTAATCAAATGAGGATAGGAATACAAAGTGAAGGTCACACACACGCGCACACACACACACACACACACTCATTGTTGAGCGGTACGGGCGACCACTTCAACGTTGTTTTGCTCCCCAAAGTGTCTTTTTCAGCACGAATACTCTAAAATTCTGTTGGGCGGCGTACGGACGCGCCTCGCTGGGGAACACGGTGCAGCATTGAGCAGCTAAAGAGACAGATATTTCCCAGAGGAAAGGCACAAACTCTGCTCAGATTAAGGTTGCAGAACAAGGGAAATAAAGGAAGACTTTCTTAATCTGTCTCAAAAGAAGAAATCCTCCACAATCTGTTTGATCTTCCATCGGCGGCTTCTCCTTGACAGTCACCCGAACCTGCACGCGGAGGCAGGAGAAGGTGAACGCAAGGAGCTGAAGAGAATCACCCGGTGGCTGAGCTGGCGCTTCACGCTTGGGCGGACAGCTGTGGCGGTTATAAATATCTGCATCACGAGCAGGCATCTGTATCCGCGAGGAGAGCTGAGCGGCCGTCGCGAGGCTGGGCTTCTAAAAATAGCCGGCCGACTCGTTCTCTGTCTCCACTGGATTTGATTAGCCCTGAAGAAACTCTGTGCCCCCCCCCCCCCCCTCTCCCCACAGACCACCACCAGTCCTCCTGTGTGTGTGTGTGTGTGTGTGTATCGTTTGTCCCCGCACACAACCACGAACGCGCTCTCCTTTGTCACATGTGTGCGTCTGGAGCGGGATGTAATCTCCTCTCGCCGGCGGGTTCAGGGTTACAGTGACCGGTTCACGGAGGAGCCGACATCAGACAGGATCTCGTTATCAAACCGATATGGCTTTCAAAAGATGGAACCTTGTTTGAGTCGTGGTGCTGCTGACCAACTGTACGCAAGAGAAAAGTGCAGCAAATCTGCTGACTGAACGTGTTCCTCACAAGGAGGTGGAGACCAAAGCGGAGCTCAAAGGAGAGGTCATTACGTGATCAACTCTGGAATCAAGTCGTTGTTGTTTCCAAAATGCCTTTTTTCACTTTTAGATGCCATTAAATAGCGAACCATTCACCAGAGCCCCCGGGTGACCTTTTCACATCACTCGGTGGGTTTGCCAAAGGTCTCCGGTCCAAAGATATTTGATATGAAATGATATGAAACATGGTTTCCTTTTCCTCTCTTCTGCGGGGGGAGAACGGCTGACTGAAAGCCCTCCGAGTGTTTCTGAAACTCATTTCCAGAGACCATGTCAAAGGCATCGCTGCAGTGTGTCCACTCCAGTGGCATCTCACCAATGACCCCCCCCCTGAAATGGGACCATTCAATTTCATACTCGGCCGGGGTGAAGAGGTGCACGTCGGATAGAAGCCCAGTGAGAGCCCGGCCTTTCTGTCCGGCCTCAGAGGAGCACCTCCACCCTCACACCCGCCCGTCGAGACGTCCGGCGGTTCGAATGCGATCGCCGTGCACTTCTGAGTCCGTCCTCAGCCGATCGGCAGCTAAGGTTATATTCTTTATCATATTTTATTGCTTTTTCCATCACAAATGGCAAAAATATAGGATTAGCTGTCACCCATTATAGTAGTTTGGGTAAAAAAAAGATTGTCTCATTTTACCCCAATTGAATCAATTAACACTTTTACATTGATTGCGGAGACCACAAAGAGCCGTAAGGACAATGAGTCATTCAGCAGGAGATCACAGTAAAGCGAGTCACCAGGGGGTCTAGTGGTCCGACGGTACAGTCAAATGAAAAGAGCGCAGAGTCGTCAAAATGTGCTGTTCGTTTCTGGTTGATTGGCTTTATTTCGGCTCCCATACCTGAATTCTATTGTGAAAGTCAGAGCTGCCAGTACAATCCGGACCCCTAATGAGCCGGACCGCTGATTAAAATGTCCGGCTGGCCCTGAACAATGGCTGCTGCTCCCATTTTTCTCCCCCCTTATCTGAAAAGGTAGTTGCTATGCAAAGAATCCAAAGGGAGGAGGGAGGAATGTGCTCCTTACCGGCGGTGTTGCTGTTTAGCATGAGGAGGACATGTCAGTACAGTAGGGATGTAGAGTTATACCTCATCACACACACACACACTCATGCAGCCAGCTGAATGTGCTCTTTACAGTGGATAAAATCCCTGATATCCATCATGATTAACGTGCATGAATCCGTTTAGAAAATATACAGACATGAAGGCAATGATCCATTTTTTAGTGACGGTTAGTAGCGTTTGTCGGCACAGCGCACAACACTTCTACGTTGAATCGCTTTATGAGATTTGGATCCTCTCAGAGTTGTAATCATACATCTAGAATCTAGGCCTCCTTCAATTCCATCCATAACGAAAAGATTGTACCTCCATCACGACCAGTGACAATGTACGAGGAGTCTTAAGTGTGCGCTCCTCTTTGACGATGAGCAGATTCTCCCTCGTCAAACCGCATCCCCTCAAACTTTTCTCGAGACACTCCAGACAGAGGAGTAACCTTTTTTTCGCTGCAGCTGCCTCAGCGGCAGGTTGCGGGGCTGCTGATGACCCGCAGCAGGTAGAGCGTCAGTCCGGCCAATTCCACTCCTCCGACATCCAAAAGTCCTCAACAACACCTTCTTCCCCGCTGCTCATCCAGCTATTTCATCTCTCTCCTTTGCACTCAAACTAAAAGTTCATGCCTATGTTGGAGCTTCAGGTTCTTTTCAAAGAGCAGGGTGCATCTGCAGCAAAGGTGAGACACCAAACTGTGTTCTTTTTATAGCAGAGGCAGCAATTTGGTGGAAACAATACAATGGTTTTAGCTCAGCTTTCCTGCAGAGCCTTCTTGGTGTGAGCAGGGAGAGAGGAGGTTATTCATTATCAGCAGAGTAGGTGCAGCGACACTGCACCAGCATGAAAATGAATAATCCCCACGCTACAAGCCGTAATACATTTTTAAAAAAGACAATGGAAAACAACGGCGTGCACCTTGAACAGCGTGGCTTGGTGCACTCACCTTGACGTGGCTGTACTCGGCCCTGCCGGACTCGCTGCCGAAGGCCCGGGTCTCCGACCTGGGTTTGAGGAGCTGACGCAGCGGGCTGGAGATGGGCAGGCCCGTCACGCTGATCCCATCTGAGAAAAAAAAAAACAGCGGCCGTCACGCGGTCATGAAGGAACCGGAGAGAAGAGGGCGTGGCTAATCGGCTCGCATTGTTGTGGTGCATTATTTCAATGTGCTCTGATGAACACACATCTCACAATCGCTTGGAGATCCACAGGAACCACGGCGGTACATCAGTGCTACATCATACATCTACATATACCGCATCTTGAGCTTTATCTTATGCTTCAAACGACGAGGCGGGTGAATATAGGTTTGTTAAATGCATAGTTTATTTTCAGAATAAGTCTCTGGGTTCCTTGGGTTCATGCAAAGAAAACAACTTAGCTTCAGGAAAAGAGTGTGGTTGACGAAACTTCTGCTTTTATTCGCTTTAGTTCACGTGTGTGTGTTTAAATGACGGTAGGTCGAATGTGTGAATGCAAGCAAAGCCAAATCTGCTTAGTATGGATCATAAAAAAAGCTTTAAAATGATTATTAGTATTATCATAAGAGTGTTATTAGTGCTATGATCCCAACACACTGCATTCACTTCATCGTGTATGAATAGCCTGATTCCATAAAGTCGTTAATATCTGAAAACAATAGAACATTTAAGATGACATCTATGGTGCTGCTATAAGAACGTGAACAAAGAGTGAGTGACATTACGTTTGTGACCTTGAGAGAGCAGCAGCTGCGCGATCAGCTGCACGAGGCTCCGCCACGGGGGCTGCTGCTTTCAACCCAGACAAAGCCCACGAAGTGACGCCCTGAGCCCAGACTCTACGTCAAAGGCACCGTCTCGCTCTCTGACGTCAGCGGAGCACAGAGCCCTGCAATGTCCCCCCCCCAAACGGGTGAGGGAGGGGGATCACAGGCCGGCGTAGCAGCTCGGGCGATCGGGTTCACCGAAGACAGACTATGACACGGTAACCACCGAAATAGAAGCAACTGGAAAGGCAAACGGCTGTGCCGATGGATGGAACACCGTCAGAATGTGGATTATGTCGAATCTACCCGACGACAGATTGGAACTGGAAAAAAAAAAAAAAAAAGCAGCGGGAATCCAATGATTAGGCACAGTAGTGAAAAGCACAGGCTCAACTTTTGGAAATCCATGCTATTCACTTGGGGTTCGATCACAGAAAGTCAGACGCGGAGCCGAGCTGCATCTTTCTCCCATTTGATGAATAAACAGTCCCGTCTTTGGTCAGCACAGCCCCGGTAAACATGTCGCTTTATGATGTAGAGCCACTGCGTTTCATTCGATTTCACTGGGCTTCACTCACGACTGTCAGCTCTTTCGTCCGTCGGGGGGGAAAAGCTTGCAGACAAAAGCGCAGAGAACAGGCTCAGCGGTGAGAAACCCGTCTGTGGAGATGGCTGTCACTGCCCCTCGTTATTGCCTCATTCTCTGTGTCCTGCTGCTAAACACATTAGGCGAGCATCTAGAGGTCCACTAGGAGTGGCAGGAGGGAGGGGGGGGGCGCCCGATAATCCAGACAACGCTCTCAGACTTTATGAACTGCGTCGGTCTTACGGGGGAAGGCGGCCCGGCTCAGGAGACACACACATGACACGGTGCGTCCCGGGGCACAGAGAGCGCGTGAGTAATGGGGGCAGTGATTAACGATGGCATCGCTCCAGAGTCTCAACCCCCCCCCGTTCACGCCTGCTTTCCAATCAGCATCCGTCTCGTTCTCCGTCTCACCGTCTCGGGTGGAGTCGAGGTTTCCATCAGCGGGCAGATTGCTGCGTTATTTGTTTTTTCACATTGAAATGAAACCTATTTGGTCATCCAATAAAATAAAACAGATTCACGTGTTTGTATTCAAACCAAATTCTACATTTCACATGATGGTGTTGTTATGGAGATTCTTCCTCAGGCTCATCAATGATGGTTTCCAAAATGCAACACTCAAGTGTGGTCTACAGTTGGTACTACTTTGGCATTTTAAGTGCTCGTGTCAAAGGAAATGTAGTTCCACATGCAGGCACTACACAGAGGGGGAAGGTTCAGTGTGCGATGATGTTTTAGTGACAAGTGCATTTGAAGAAAAAGAAGATTGGGCTTCAATAAAAGCACAATTAAAATAACAAAATCATTTCTTTCCCTTTATGGTGCAAAACGCGTTTTACTTTAAGCGGCTCGCGACACAAAAAGTGATTGAATCACTGCACAGGAAACTACCAAACAAGCTGCAGCAAACTACTAGTTCCTCTGCTGTGCCAGTAGCGCTCACATTTACAAGCCTCGATGTCCTGGAACAGGGACATAATGACATAATGTAACCATTATGTCATTAACAACATCAACATCCTGTTGAAGGAAGACCATCTTCAGAAAGCCACTTGCCACCTTGACATGTACTTCAGCTTTTGGGGCAGTAATCCAATTCAACCAATCAAGATATTACAGCAAAACATGCATATATTCTACGGCTACTGACGGACCGTTACCTTCACCTTTGGCACGACACGGTGGCCTCAGAACCGCCGCCTGTGGTCAGGGATCCATCTAGCAATAAGATCAAGATGGTCACCTGTCGAACGGTGTGTCCTATGCAGACGATGATCTTTTTTTCCCTTTGATTTTCTGTTAATTGTTTTTTCTGTAGGTTGCACTCTTATCTTAGTCCGTGCATCACCCCTCGTGACACCCGCTCGGCTCCGCCTCGGTAAATTTCTGGCAAAGTGGAAACCCGGGAGAGAGAAACATCACCACTTTTGACTTTGTTTCTGCGTCGTGCTCCCAGAGCCGGACCCGAAAGTCAGGGAACAAACTATTCTGAGGGGAAATCAATGAGGCTCGGCCCGTTGGGGAAGCAGCGTTTCCTGTGGCTTTGTCTGCTTTGCCCCTTCTGCCTCAGCGGAAACACAAAGGACATCGGGTGCAGAGCTGCCAGGCGGCATTACAGTCCCGGCTTGACTTTCTCCTCAATCCAAATACAGGCTGATCATCACAAAGCCCACATATGCTGAAACATTCCACTACGGGTCTGTGAGTCAGGACACACCGACTCACACCTCTGGTGCGGCATAACAGGCATGACTGAACGGTGAGCATATGAAGGCTGCAAGTCAACGGTGCTTAGTTATGTCGAATATGGAGGCGCTGCTGTAACACAACGTACGCGCCGTGAAAACTACGCCGAGAACTGATGCACGAAGGAAAAGACAGAAAGTGAACCTAAAAGTTAATGTAGCTTGGGAGTTTATTTTGAAAAGACACTTAATGTGAATGTTACAAGTGGAAACTGAAAAGTGATAATAATGCATTTTCTTTTTCACTTTATTATTCATATATGCAAATTCATAGTTTCACCTGGACTTGCGTTCCCAACCAAGCTAAATCACTGCTGGCTGTAGCTTCATATTTAGCATAATCTCATTTTGGACATAGGTCTGGTATGTGTGGAATATTTAACGAGAGGCGGATTGTAAAGTAATCCAATAAAAGCACAAGACGAATGCCGTCGATTTAGCCCACGTTCCTTGGTGCTGTGAAGAAATCCAGTAAATTGGACTGAATGGAAATGAAATACAAAATGTAGACGGGGCGACCAATCCGTGGCAATGGTTTAGATCACTAACTCGATCCAAAAGGTGGGAGCAAACAAAAAGGCTGCATTAAAACGCCAAGACTATTCTGTTGCTCTTCTCAGTGTAGAAACAATGGAGCAGTGCAGCCGTCCCTTCAGTATCTGTTTTGGCGCTTTGCCTTGTTTGAAGATAATTTGTGTATTTTTATAATACTTATTGTGAAACAGAGCAGCAAGATACTTCAATCTACTGAGGTTATTAAAAATATTCAATAACCCCCTCCCCTCGATTTCACTGTTCTGGAAGTGGAGTCAGACATTAAGTGCAGTAATTTAACAATAAAATGAAACGCCTTTGAAATAACTGAACAAAATTGTTGTTAGAGTTAATTTTCAGCACAACGTGGCCAGTTCTGAATGAATTACTCGCTCATATGTTGCACAGGTCTGAATCCCTGCATCACATTAATGGGGACGTTGTGTCGAAATGTTTTATAATGCTGAAGCTGCAAATATATAATGTATTGAAAAATTACCTTTAATATATGTAGAACTCTAAGTGAAATAGACTTCATGCAGGCGGCTTTGGTGGGTTGGTATGCTTATTCAACAGGCAAGGCGTTTTTACCTCTACGTAAATAAACTTAAGCTTTAACAATGGGATTCAGTAACGGTACGATGTGGTGACATTAAAAAAGGCATATGTGATTATGCAATACAACCAACTCTTGGAAGCATCGGTCGTGCCTAATTGAGACGCTTGATGAGCAGAAACGGCAGAAACCTTCCAGGATAGAAAACTGTCTTGATGCAAATAAGTTATGAGCACAAACCACGTTGTTGAAGTGATTTTGTAAATGTATTAAAATGATTGAAAGCGTCAAGTGTTTAACAGCATCACTCAAATGACCTCGCGAGGAGCTGGGGCCGGGATAAGATCATATCTATCTATGTATATGATAATATCAGCTCAGAAATGTAAGAAGGGCAGGAGAAGGAACACGATGAAAGGGCTTTGAGGAGAAGGTAAGACGTCCTCCTTTCAACCAGGGACGAGCACTCGAGGGAGGAGAAATGTAACCGGGGGCAACAGGAGGGAAGTGGCGGCATGGTGGAGACCTCCAAGACTTCGCTCTTATTACCGCGGAATCTGAAGTGCTTCAGCATCCGAGACGTCTGAACAATTCCACGGCAATCGACTTTGAGACGACGGAAGGGAAAAACATTTTGCCTCGGTGGGAACAACGCACTCAAATGCCAGTTCAATGGAGACGACTAACTGAATCAATGCGGTCTACAACAGGCCGGCAATAAATCATACCTCCAGGAAGGCTTCGGGGTTCCTGCTTTAGAGTATTTGAACTCGGTTTGAAGACTGTCGTCGGGGGGAGGGGGGGGTTCTGTCCGTCTGTACCCAAACGTAATGCATGAAATGGTCCACTCTGTGTCTCCGTTGCCGTGGCAACCTGCGCGCGGCACAGAAGCCCCGCGCTTGTAATTAGCGGAGAACGTCCCGCTCCACTCACCGTCATTGAGGTCCTGCAGCAGGCTCTCCTGACCGGAGAAGTCCAGCTCCACTTTGATGTGCACGGTCAGCGTCACGGCCTGGCCCGACTTCAGAGGCAGGCGGGACGAAGCCTCCTCCAGATCCCAGCTCAGAAACTCCCCAAACACTTTCTCTGCACACACACACACACACACACACAAGTGGGAGGGAGAGGCAAATTGAAAACAAGCCAATGCAACAAAACTGATTCTGTAAATTAATTGCACAGCATTGGAGGCCGGGGTGAGACCTGCTGGGGTGTTTCTTTTGGGGTGCAAATCATTTTGGAGAAAGGTAAACAAAACCACACTGCTGTGCTTGTGAATAACCCAAAAGGCAATTTGCACACAGGAGCAGTCAGCTCGCTGCAGGTTTTTGCATCACTACCATATGCTTGTTTTTTTTTTCCTTTTTTCTTCCGGAGCAACAAAGGCGCTGATTGGCTCCCGAGTCCTTGGGCTGCTCGTCACCAGACCCGCATCGCCGATGTTCGCCTCCAGCCGCCTCCACCTGAGACGAATGAATCAGCTGCATCCCCTTCAGCAGCGAGTGAGCGATACGCCGGCTGAATAAAGCATGTGTTTCCGTGTGCGCAGGTGAGGCGTCGCTGGGAGCAGCAAGCGGGCGGATTTTAACAGAAGGGGGAGATGCAAGTTCACAGTAGGAACAACAGTTTAAACGTCCCCGCCTGATAACCAGAGCTCGTAGAATCCTCGAAGGAGGATGTGAGCGTAGGCGCCGTTAGATAAAGAGTTTGTGAATAACGCTGCGCTTTAAATATTCATAAACTCCAGGGCCCCTTGCAGTGAATTAGAAGAGGGAGCGAGAGGAGGAGAGAAAAGGAGGGAAACGATGTAGAAGAAATGAGATTGGAAGAAGAAATATTCACTTGAAAATGCAGCAGCAGGCGCCTCGTCACTCCACAGGTAGACAGCCAGGATGACACGTCATTATCGGCACACGACCGAACCAGATCGAGTGCAAATCGAGTGTCGATGGGGGGGGGGGGGGGGGGGAGGGGGCCCCCAAGAATTTCCAGGAAATCCCTCCAGGCTTATTTTGAGGGTTTTAAAAATTTTGACTCTTGGAAGATGTAACACGGGGATCAGTCGGCGCCTCATTAGATGAAACAACCTTGATTTCAAGCTCCGTCTGTCAGGAACACGTCGGTCAGGAAGCAAGATTTAAATCCTGCGTTGAGGTTTTTGAGCATGACAGAATCGCCGGCGAAACATTTGTAATCGAGAAATAATCAAACAACACTGGACAATAGCGTAGCAATGAAAACTCACCACCAAAACCTCTGATTCTTTTCTTTTTTATACAGTTTGCACATGGTGGTTGAAGTTCAAACAGCATTATTTTCATCCCAGATATCGAGGAAATGGAGGTTGCCGGCTCGGCTCCCGGTAACAAAGCCTGTGAACGAGTATCGTTGCCCTCTCGTCTCTTTTTTTTTTTTTTTGCACGGGCTGCAGAGTGGAAAGTGTTTTGTCCTCATCCGGACACTTGATACGAACGCACGTAAGTGTTGTGGAGGACAACTGAGCCGAGCTCATGTTCATACCCACGGAGCACCAATGGGGTGGCGGCGACGGACAAAAGGTCAGACCAGCTTATTTTCTGCTATTCAGAGACGACTCTGCTTATGTAAATACCACACAATACATCACTGTATGAAGAGAGTTTTTTATGAATATTTCTGCTTTTGTTTTGGAGAAATCCAATCTCCCATCTCAGAAAGAGTAATGCTTGTTTGTTTTGCCGCAGATGTCTTCCTATTGTGACTCTTCATCTTTTATTCATTCACTTCCCACAGAAAAGGCGAGAGGGCCCCTTCAGCGGTGTGCGTCTGAAGCCTCTGGCAGGTTAGAGCTCAGGAGCCACAGGCAGGTGGGTGATAATTAGGAGGTAATACGATGACCAGGAACGCCGCCTCCGTCATGGGGCCCACTGGATGGCATCGAGTGTGCTGTGACTCTCGTATGGTTTTCATTCGTACACTTTGGAAAAAGGGAGTGAAAATAATGGAGGGGATAACGGAGACTTTAAACCTGGTTGGGAGATCTCGCATGAACCAATCAATTGAAACATGAAAAGAAATCATGAAGATTCTAACAATGTTACACCCAACATTATAAAAAGAGATGTAGGCCTTATGAAAGATCTTCATACTGTAACAAACTGCTGTATAAGCTTCATATTTTCATATGTAACATTACAATAATGCAGCCAAGCATACATTAATAATCCCAAACCGTCCCTCGGGGACAACATCAGAGAGGCAAGAGATGTGATCCAGGTTGATTATTAGTTAGATGTGGCCTAAAGATGATGATTGAAGGATATCTATTCAAGTTTGCTCATCCAACAACAACCAAAAACTAAAGCATTCGGAGGCAAAGCGCTGTTTGCATTTCCAACCAGCGCAACAACTGCTCTATTTCGAGCCTTCTTGTGCACCGCGTGCGGCCAGCAGGGCGCGCTGGAGGCAGCATCTGAGACCTGGACGGGCCGTCGCTACATGGGCGGGGTGGGCCGGGCTACTGGTGCTCTTTGCTAGTTGGCACTGACGGGCTAATTACCACTCACTCTAAGGCGAGGGCTTAATGGGGCGTTTGTACACACGAGACGCGGTAATTCTCTCACAAGCAGGCCGGTCGGCGTGGATTTCCCCCGCAAACGGAAGAGAGAAACGCACTAAAAGTGAGGAAAGTATTCAGCGTGACGGAAGCTGCATCGTCGGACAAGACCTGTGAGCGTTGACCCTCCGGCCGAGGATTTGTTAGTGTACCCGGTCTTCAATTAAACACACAATCCGTGGGCGATTTTGGAAATGTCAGAGCAATTCCACACTGGCCTGCAGCAACCTCGACTTCATTGGTAGCGTATGTTTAAGGATAACGGTGTTAAAAAGACACAGGGTGGACTTGAGCACAATGTCCCCATTTAGAACCTGTGGATCAAAAGACGTCGACATTTCTGATTAAAATTTCCCCCTCAGGGTCAATGCTGAACGACACACAGGTTTAAACTCATTGAATAGACTTTGAGTGGGTTGCAGCGTATCGCTCCTCTGGACTGACAACCACTGCCAGCATGCAGGTTTTATTCTTTTTGTTGAAAGCATGAATTCTCAGTTATCTTGTTGTCGGTGAAATATCATAGAGTATAATGTTTGGAAACGTTGCCGCCTATTTTAGTAGCAGAGCTTCTTTGTTTCACACAGAAGAGAGTGAGATAAAGAGAGAGAAAGAGACGGTTGGAATGAGGTGGAACTGCAGAGATCTGAGTACTTGAGCAGGTATTGATTGAACAAAGACACAAGAGCAAAAATCCAGGGGGGCATATGTTGTGCTGTGGACATGTGGGGAGGAACAGAAGCCAAAAACCTGGGTGAAGGACATCAAAAACTGGAGAGAAGACTGAAACAGTGCTGATAACACACAAAACATGAATTATTTTCAGGGTTTTCCCACATTCTATGCATGCTCATTATCCACAGAGTGCCATACCCTTCTTCTTCGAGCCTTTCAGGTCCGCTATTTCTGCCCCAGTTTTCAACAGCGTCCTCATTTCTGTTGACGACGAAGCTCTTCCCAAACTCATCTTCCTCGAACAGTGCCGCAGTCATCTTGCTCTCCTGACTTCAAAGCCTCCGTACTGAAGGAACTGCACTCAGCTGACTCATGTTCTGCCAAACCAGCAGATCATACTTCTACATCTCCCTACGCAACTTCTACTCCATCACATCCACAGAGGTGTTCCCCAAGGATACGTACTCGGGCCCTCTTCAACGTCAAAATCACCCTTCTTCAGCCTGGACCTACAAGACTGAACTCCACCCTCAGCAAACCCAAATCCATTTCCTCATCCCTCCATCAGTGCACTTCTATTCAACACTATCTGGTCCAGCATAGACCCAAAGCTCCTGACCAGCCCATGCAAGCGCAAGAACAATATATCATGAATGCACTGAAACAACCACCCGTTTCTTCACTAGTTCAGATCCGAGAGGAGGAAAGTAGACACTTTTAGTTTAGTCATTAAATAGGGGTCCTCACCTTTGGTGCTGAGAATCTTGGACGTGAGCTCCAGAGTCTCGATGTCCTCAGATCCGATGTTCTCCAGGGTAATGGTCAGCTGCTGGGTCTCTCCGTTAAAAAGCTGCACTGACACCGTGCTGGACAGTTCCTCTTTGGACGTGGGCTGAGACGCGTGTGCCGACCTGTTTGTGGAGGAGGGAGAACTGTTCAGCGGTGATTCAAAGTACAATACGATCATTCTTTTGAGGGTTTGGCCGGTTGTTAAAATGTTTTACATGCATGTGGCAAGTTACGGATAACCAGATATATGTGAAAAAATGCCCCATACCAATGGCCACGAGCTTTGTGTTATATTTATGGAGAATAATCAGAGTTGTGCACAGCACCAACGCTGCCTGAATTATAAAATATCTGTTTGGCAGCACATTGATCAGATGTACAGCCTATGACCCCTGGCACAAGGATGGAGTCATCATTTAAATAAGTGAATCCACACTGATTACCATACAGCAGAGAACTGATCGCCATCTCCTCAAATAAATTCTGGCTCAATTTCAGTCAGCGGCATCATGGCGAGGTTTTAAATTGGCTGTCAAAAGCAAAAGGCTTGCGGCAGATGCTTCGGCTGATGGCATCTGTTGTTGAAAGCAATGCGAGCAGTGGAGCACGAGGGGAAAGATCAATGCAGGTGTTTGCTACAACTTCAGCACACCTCATTACGCATGCGCACAGCACGCATCAAAAACTCGGCCTGAGGCCAGAATTACATCACCGAGTTGTCGTTGATTTATCGAACAGTGAGGTCGGCACGAAAATACCTTTAAATGCATTTTGAAAGTTATAACAGGGCTGAACTACGGTTGACCTACGCCCTCCACAAAATGCTGGAAATAATTAGACCTAATATTTTAACACTGACGTTTGAAACGTGGAAAAAAAGAAGTAAATAAGCAGCTTTGCGCTGGAGGGAGAAAGAACATTGAACGAGTCAGTGGGGCACCTGCTGAACTGAGGTCAGAGCCGAAGGTCTACTTGCGTGGCCGAGAGCAGCCGAGGGGCCGCGCACCACATTTGTATTCCATTTGCTTCATGCAATCTGAAACGGAACTCTTCCAACGCGGGAGAATAAAGAGATTTTCCACATCAAAAGCTGCTGAAGTGCTGTACTCACAGGCATGACCTAAATAGTGGATTTTTCTGCAGCTCCCCTGTCAGAATGATTTATAACACTCCGAGAAGGCACTTTACTGGGAGTAATTTAACCCGTGCTTTCTCCTCTTCCGGCTCCTATTTTCACTCCGTTGAAAATGTCACTTCCCCAGACAGGATGTCCGTGAAAACAAACAAACCTGCAACTTCGGAGGTTTGAATTGACAATCAACTCCTTTACCCAAAGTCATCGGTTCTGGTCGAAGGTATTTAAGCCGTCGTGCACGTTTGAGTCAAATGTGCAATATTTCATTAATATCTTAATATTATTACTTATTGTCACTGGCAGTGTATTTGTTTACAGAACTTTTTTTATGCATTAGTAACTGGCCTTTAACTTTTCAAATAGTGCTGAACCTTAGTTATACTCGTAGAAGTTCATTTTTTTGAGTGTTTGGTTGAAAAGAGCGAGGTCAGGATGTGGTTTCTGGGTAAAAGGGTGACGGCTTTAGTGGCAGTAGTTGTGAGGTTGTGGATCGGCCTCAGTTCGCTCTCTCCACATACAGCGTTTGGTGTGTACCTTATGAGCAAGTGAAAAACATGGCGGTGCAAATTGCTGAATTCCATTTCGCCCAAAATTCGACGCGCTTGAACTTAAAGTGTGACACTGCTGCCATTTATGAAATAATTATCAGCATAAAAGAATGAATATCAAATAATAACCTGTGAGCTTTGAGCCAATATAGCCTTCTCTTTTTAATCCGAATTATACTTTAAATGTGAATTAATGCTCAAACGTTTCCTAAGTAAATAATTACCGTGACGTTTATGCACAACTATAGTTGCAGCACCAGTGTTCACCACAGACGTGCTCATACGAAAAGTAGTTCAGCGCAAGAAATCCAAACGATGCAAATGCACCGAACCGAAGGGCTGCTCACCGGGGCAGTGACGTGCTGAGCTGCAGACGAGGCAGGGAGGGAATGACCTCCACCAAAGAGCCGCTGGTCTTCACGCTAGGCAGGCCCTCCAGCAGGCAGTCGCTGGTCACCCCGAACACCGACGTGTGGTACCCTGGGTGAGACAGGCGTTCAGCTCTACTGCATCAATGCTCTGACCAAGGCGGCGTCCGAGCGCCGGCGGGGCTCGGCGGCGGGACTCACCGTTGACCGTGATGTTGCCGGCTGTGCGCGGGACGCCGACCAGCGTGACGGGGTACAGGCCCGACTCGGCGGGCAGGGACAGCGCGGCGGGTAGGGACTCGAACTCCACGCCGGATGTCAGCAGGCCCTGAAGACGAGAGCCGACGGAATGACTGAAGCCGTTTTAAAACAATCTATTTGAGCCAAGTGAGATTTTTTTTTAAAAAGACCTCTCTGATACAACGAGAAGTGGAGAAACAAACAACAACGTCGTTGGTTCTTATTCGACCGGCACGGAATCCATTTGTTATCCTTCTGAGAAAGAATGTGAATTATTATAAGTATTGCTAACAATTGCACGTGGTGTTTTCACGTCTACCGTGGAGAGAAACACTGATGCCAGTAAAGGCGTCACATCCTGTAACGTTAATTAGCCGCTGTGGAGATATTTAAGTGGTGGACCAATCATGTGACCCGCCGACATCGCTTTCCTTCGAGCCACTTACAACAAATCACTGTCCCGTGACTTGACTTCAAACCTAACGGTCCCAACCAAAGTTTACCCCCCCCAACTTTATTTACCCCAATTGATTTGATATTTGGCAGGAAAAATCTAACCTGCAAGTTCTCCGTTTGAGAACAGGACCTTGCTTCTCTCAGGCGTAACTTTGTCAGACTGCGATTTTAAAAGTTAACCTAATTAATCAATCGGACGACGATGTGGGGATGCTAAATTAGTCGTAGTGAGGACAAACACGTCACCGATGCCTCATTGGTAGTCAAGAGAAGCCTTCTGTGTGGCTTTAAAGTCTCCTTCGACTGACTTCATATTTACACTCTTAGTACACAGCGGCTGGTTGCACGAGGCAGACTGAGGTGACGTAATGACTGCGTCAATCCCCCGACAGCAGACACTACCTCACTGGAGGGAAGGCTGCCCTTGCATCGGCCTCAGGACCTTATTTTAAGTGGCCAGTTTGGGCCGACAGTAACGACAGGAGCGAGTGAGGCTCATCTTTGGATCGTCATTCAGAATTATTCAATAATTATTATTATTAACGATTATTTCTTTGTTAAAAGGCACAGGTGAGAGCAACTACAGAAAAGTCAAGCAGACAAAATAAGAAGAATAGACGCAGGGTGGAAACTTCTCGCTACTTTAAAGAAAACACCGATTTCTTGCAGTTTCTCGGACATAAAATATTAAGAAGTCTTTTCTTGATTTATCTGCACTGGAAATAACAGAGTTTACTTAAGTTCAGTGAATGAGAGGAAAAAACTACGAGCACAAAAATCAATAAAGCACAAAACAAAGCTGCGTATTAATGCTAAAGTTGTGCGGAGACGGAGCGCCTGTCTTGCCAAACCGCGCGGTCACCTTGGCAACGCAAGATGGAGAAGTGACCTTGTGTCCGTGTGTTCGCCTCAGACGCTGCTCCGGTCTAACGGCAGTCACTTTGTCTGGGGGACAGATCTCTGCAGCTCTCTGCAGCTTGCGTCAGCCCGTCCGTCTCCACCTTCACCCTCCATCTGTGACCCGATCGATTCACCTGTAGGTGGGCGGAGTTAACGACCTTGTGTCGAAGCGCGTCCGTGTGGCAGGCGGTGCACAGCGCGCTGAAACGCACTGCGCCTCAGGTGGCTTCGCATTAAGAGCGCATTCGCCAGGAAGGTTCTTCCGGCTTCAGGACGTTTTGGCCGCATAATGAATTCTCATTAGAGTTTTCCTGGTGAGCCGGCTGACTTCCTGCCAACTTCCACAATAAAACCGAACAGGACAACGCTGCACAAAACATTTTTAATGCAGATTCTGATTTTTTGACAATCTTAAAAATACAATATTAAACCTAAAATACATTTATGTGTATATTATAATGTGTCTTTTAGAGTCTTTTTGGAACAGGGTCACATGACCTGAATCGCTAACAAACACTTGCCTGGGGACGTGACTGCATGCGACCGTCTTCATAATCAATAAAATGAAAATACTGATCTTTTCAATAAACGTTTGTCGATAAATCAGACAATAAGAAAGATTTATTTCCACCCGCAAAGCCATCATCTCCTGCTGCAGGCGCCTCTCACAAGACAAAAGCGACAGCTTATTTTTAACTATAAATAATATAGCTATTGAAGATTAATGATACCAGGAGAACTCTTATTTACGCTCATTAATTTCCCGTATTTGTTTTTTCCCTTTCGCCCTATAACTATTTCTTGAATACTCTTGCTTGTATAATTATTTACAGAAACAACTCATTTCAGATGAGGCAGTATCAAATGTTTAGAATGACAGATTACCAAAATGATGACTGATGATATTTTAAAAGTGCACCCAAAATTCCTCAGAGTTGTTTCAGGGGAACTTCTCTTGTGTCTTGCAGGCAAAAGCTTTTAATATTTTCAACTGTAAAAGGGTCAAGTACTGCATATCAAGTGCCTTGAGGATCCCCAGAAAGCATCATGACTTGCACTGCTTGTATTATTACTGCAGGATTGTGGTTACATATTCCCATATTCAGATTCAACAAATATCAAAATGATCCTCCAAAGCAAGACACGTTGAAAGGTAAAGCGTAAGACATTTCACTGACCATGTTCTCCACGCGGAGTTCGTAAGGCATGGGGTTGTAGACCATGAGCTGTACCTCACAGACATCTCCCTGAACCCACTGGAACTCTATTCAAAGAAGGAGAGACAAGAATTCATTTCAATAAGATGTTGGTGGTGCGAAACCTGCTCGCGATGAATCATCAGAGGAAAACACACCATGAAACTACATTTCTATTAAAGACAAAGATGATTGCAATTAAAGACAAATCCTAATGTCCAACTGGAATCTTAAAAGACTGGAAACGGCAACAAAATCCAGCAGAACCTAAAAATAAACAGCATGCAATATGTTTTTTATCTCACTTGAACTATAAAAACTGTCCAGAGTGTTGAGTGGGAGACCATCCTTTAATAATTATTTTTCAGTGAATCTATAAATAAAAAGACTTGAATAAGTGACCTCGTGGTTCACGGTCTTAATCCCGACTCCACAGCGCCGTTCTCGGCCCACAGCGGTGACTTCCTGGAGCCCTGCCGGCGCCGTCCGCCTTTCAGGAAGTCGCCGCGCGCTGCCAAGAACGAGTCTGGCACACAACTCCACCAAGGACCCACTACCCATCTGTACGGAGCCCAGAACCCCCCACAGCGGTTTATGCTACGACACTGCAGTTATCGCCATGGCAACAGTGGGTTTTAGCCCTGTCACATAAGGCTGTACTGTGCAGAAGTACCCAAACTCGTGTGAACCTAATTGAACTGTAACACGTAGGCTGGCAATGCATTATGGGTGTTGTATTTGAGCAGATATTCAACAAGGTCCGAGCAACCTACAAAAAGCCGATTGGTACTTTGATGGAACAAAGGAGAAGAAAGCCGTGCACTGCGGTACCCGTCGCTCCTGTATGAGACGTGGGAAGAGTTTGTTAGATTCAGAAGCTATTTCAGTCCCACTAAACCCATCTCCATTCTGAGACGCATCACACTGTGGGGTTCAGCCCGAGAGCCCGTTGTTGCATATAGACTTGCAAAACAGGGCCTGGAAATCCTACTTGGACCCTGGGATGAAAAGAGATTTCTGGAAGGCAAACTCACGCCATGCACCTTGGGAAATTAAGTCAGTCAAAAGAAAGATATCTATGATAAGAATGTCTCGACACCTCCCACATAACCTCAGGTCTGGCTCAGAGGCGTGCTCTCATCGCCAGCCAATTATGTGTGAAATACACCTCAGAAAATAGAAAAACAAAGTGGATCGCTGCTATCTTATTTGTATTGCCTCAGTCCAAACTCCTCGCGTGGCCACTGAGATTCTGCAGGGATCTCCAAAGGCTTTCAGACTTCCTCGAACGAGGCAATAATGAATGTCTTGCGTCAACGCGCGGCTGCACAGTTGGTTTAAAGTTGCTTTGGTTTGTTTCCCAATAAAAGAGGTGCAATGTGTGAGATTGGAAAAATATACTTAAAAAAATGAATGTACAATAATCAGCCTGCAAACACAGAGGCTGCGACTTGCAACGTGAACAATGTGCTTAATTTGGCCAACTGCGGCCAAACACATTGCCCCTTTAAGAGGAGAAATATTGTTGTCAAACTGTCTCTCGTGAGCTGTGAAAAAAATCTTTCTATACGGAATAATACATACGCACTTAAATGGAACTTAAATGAGAGCGGACACGAGGAGAGAAACTCACCTACAAACCGCTGTACTCGAGTTTCTCTCCGTAAACTATATTTTACAAAACGACATTTGCACACAACACGATTGTGTGGTTTTATAATTTGGATAAGAAAGTCAACGAGACCTCAGTTAATCGGCTTTGGACGCGGCACAGACGCATCTTTTTAAAGTAAACTTCCATCTTCGCAGGAAGTAAAGTTAATGTAAGAAAAACCTCCGCCAGACACATCTTATCAAATGCGACCAATTGGAGTGACGAATGAACAATTTCTAATGTATTATTAAAGTGCGTTAAAAATATAGGAATTATAATATTATATGATCCCTGAAACGAAAAAAATATCAGCAAACAGCCATCAATTATGAGGTATGATAATACTAAGAATGTATAACTTTACTCAGTGTTACTTACTGGTGCTCAGCGTGGAAACGTACTCCTTTAATCAACCAGGAGGGAGCTGTTGTGTGTCTGTGTGCGTGAGTGTGCACAGCGAGGAGCTCACCAATCTTCTTACAGCGCTCCTCTCCTCTGTTGTGCATGATGATGGGCGAGTAGATGAAAGGGCTGGCGGTGGACATGTTCTGTCCCGGCAGACCTTTCACTTTGTGAGGACGCAGACTGACGGGCAGATTCAGGAGCTTCACCGATCTGGTCGGAGCGTCACAGGAAACAGAAATCATTGAAACCTTCTTAGTGTAGAAATGACACATGCAGGCTTAGAGAAATGTTCGCCGATCACAAATCCCGCCGACATTACAACGGTCTATGGGTAACAAAGTGGCCCCCTCCCGTCCTACCGAACGATGGGCAGCTTGGTGAAGGGCACCGGGGGGAGCTTCAGGCCGTCAGGGAGCGTGATGACCTCCATCCCACCCGGACACTTGGACGTGTAGTTCTCCAGACTCTGGGTCACCTCTTTCTTCTCTACAAAACGCAGGAGCGAGGAAAATCAATGAGCACGTGGCAATAGAGTCCAATAAGAAGTGTGTATGTACACACACACACACACACACACACACACACACACACACACACACACACACACAACTATCCAAAGGTCAGACAGATCATCACACAACACGATTCCCTTTAAAGTTCCCCGCACTCCGATAGCGTGATGAGCGAGTTCATCTCTGTGACCTCGGTATCATTTTCTAGACATTAATGATAACTGGACCAGCCTTCCAGTGGAATGGAAGGTTTTATTGTCCCATCAATACATTTTGAGGGAACATTACTGCTCATCCAGCCGAAGGATTTGCTCTGACTCTGCCAGTTTCAAGAGTGGTGAGAAGGACATTTAGAGAGACTGTAAAATAAGACTTCAAACAGATACACAAGTCTCCTTATGACAGCAAGACCTTTGCGTGGTTGCGTCAAGTTTGTAGTGTTACTCCACAGCATTGTGCATCAAACTGAACGATACTGGGATATCCATTATATCCGTATTGCGTCGAAATACTCTGTGTTTAAATAGATTATCTTACTAAAACAGCCCAAATGTGCCATGTGAGAGTACCCCATTGGACCAAGATATTTGTTAATGTCCAAAAGTTTCAATATCTGTAAGACTTTTAACAGCCGAGCCACAAAGGTCCTTTTCTGTCCATCTCTATTCTACGCTCGACATATAAAAGACACAAACCAAGACACATCAAAAGAGGAATATTCCACTTGAGCAACCTGCCAAAACCTTCCCTGCCATTTGGAATATCACACTGCAGACAGGTGGAGACGCAATCAAAAGGAGGGCATCCAACCTGCAGCCAAGACTGCCAGACAAATGAAACCATATTTATATTCCAACAAAAGACCCACAAGGTCAGTCCAAAGAGTCAGGAGACGCTCTTCAGCCCACGGACTGATTGCAGCGTTTTTCTACCCCTCGATGTGTGTGAGGATGGCGAGAGTAACACAGCTGCAGAAGCCCCCCCCCCCTTGCTGGTGTTGAGACTTAAAGACGAAAAGCTCGCTCCACCTCGATCGCTCCTCGTCTCCAGCAGCCAAAGCGAGGATTACGCCGGCCTCTATTGTGCAGCCAGTCGACCGTAAAATAAATAAATAAATGAAGAAATAAATCTCCTGGCTGCAAAGGATTTCTGGTCACAACACAAAGTCGCACTCGGGCCAGACAAGCGAGCTTTTTTTTTCTCTTTTTTTGGAGGCCGGACGCGAGGCTGGAAGCGCCTCGAGCGCTTTGAAGTCCACAACGAACAGAGAACGTGAGCCGACCTTGATCAGACAGGAAGTCCAGCATGGTCTGCAGCAGGAAGGACAGGTGGCGCACGGACAGGGCGGGGTTGCCCATGCGACGGGACGCGTACACCAGCTCATGCAGGAGGCGCATCTGAACGGCGGCCCAGCCTCGGTGGGTACCTGAGAGGGAGAGAGGGTGGTAATGTGAGCGTAGGTACCTTACTATGGTCATAACACAGCATTCTTCAGCCTTTAGAAGATGTTCAACCCTTTCTGGATGAGCATCGCTGAAATAACTTCTAACAAAGCGATTTCACATAGTTGCCGGAGACATTTTTTTAAGGTTTTGCATTTTATGATTATGTTAAAGTCAGTTTCTTTTTTTTATCTTTGAGCCGCAGGAAGGATTCCATCATTCATTTTTCGAATGACAATATGCAGCTATATTAATTATTTATTCCTGCAGTCGTTTCAATTCTTGAGTCAAAAAGCTGTTCTGCTTTTCTTTTGATTTTATGAAAGTTATTGAACCTCGTGAGGTTTTCTGTCGCATTCACCGTTTCAAAAGCAGCTTTGGTGCACTTTGCGTCGCAAAATTTGACGGAACAAACGATAAAGTTTTAGCTGAATCATATTGTGGCGACAAAATTGCTTCCCTTTTTTTCCTTTAAAAAAAAATTAAAAACTAAAATCAATTCACTGAATATAGATTAGACCGGCCTCTTGTAGAAACACACTAATAGTAATTCAGTGATGAGGATTTCACGTCCCTGCTTTACTTTCAGCTCGCCCACACACGACTCCTGATAATCACCCCAATAACGTTTTCAGCGCCGGCGAAGCTTCACAAGTCTGCATTTGTGACCAGCAGCCATTGCTAATAGCTGAAACCCCCCATAGCTGTTAATTCAGCTGCTGTTTTTCTCTTCTTTTTTTTTTTTTTTAGGGACATCTTAATAGCATTCTAGGCCGACACATAAGCGCCTCGGCCCCCTACGAGAAGCAGCGCTGCGCTCCCAGCTGTCGGCTGTTGACTCACTAAGTGGGGAAGAAAACTGGAGGAGGGACGTGCCGAGGAGGCCGCGGGGGCCAGAGGGAGGAAGGGAGGATCTTTAGAGAACAATCCCATGTTTCCACAGCTAAATACCACCTCCAATATCCTCCCAGCATCCCTGTCATGCTCCATCAGCATTATTCTACCGGGGTCATCGTTCATCCGGACTTCTTCTGCCACCTGAACAAACTCCAGATGCAATTCCTTCACAAGCTTTCTTTTTTTGTGTGTCGTGAAATTGCACTCTATAAATAGCTGACTTGCCCCAGTCTGCCAAAACCGTCTGTTATCTGGAGAACGGTGATCCAAAAGGGCACAGGGATTTCTCTCCCTCTCAAAAGCAAAAGGTGCAAAACAAAACAACCTTGGGGGAGTTGTTTCTTCCGTGCCATCACCCTCCTCTGTAAACCAAAACTAACAAAACATTACAATGGCATAAAAAAAATTTAAAAAAGGACGGAAGATTTTCCGGCGGCGCACCATTGACGCCATCTTTCTTTCCCACCCGCCTTATCGATAAGACTCCCATGTGATGTCTTCAGCCATGGTGGGTTTACCAAGAACTCAGCTGGGACTTGAAAGTTCCTGCGTCTAAAGGAGGGTCCTCGGCCTCGAGGCAATATACTGAAAGAACAGTCCGGAATGATGGGAAGAACCTCGCTGCCGCCTCTCTAAACATTTAGTTTTATTATAAACTATGATAAACCAAGTTAAGTCACACTGGATTTCATTTTTGGATGAGTTGCTTTTTCTTGTTAATTCCTAACATGCCTCATTGAAAACTACAGTGCAAATATGAAAACCTGTGTCTGAAATACACTCGTATAAAGCAAGAGATTAAAAGGCACACTCTTAGTAAATTATGAATACTGCAATCTTATTTCTAAATTCTGAAGCCGTTACTTTATTCATAACAACTGAGATATCACCCCCATTCTAGTTTGTGTTTCTGTGGTGATGTCAGCCGTTCTTCCTCTCCTCTAGTCTTCATCACAGGCATCACTTCCTCCAAAAGAAAGATCCTCCACTTCCAATGAGTTTATTTCAGCTTTGAAAACAGTCAAACTAGAAACTACCTGCTAATATTGCCTGTGTGCTAATGTGCTAATGTCCATTTACATCTGACTACGTAGCAGTGTATTTTTTTTTTCCAAGACCGTCTGACTTAATATTTTTATTAACTTTTTTCCCCAAGATTTTTTTGACATGTTGCCTTTTTTCAAAAAAAAATTCCATTTGTTGTCTATGACCATTTTTTGACCCAACATTTTTTTCTAAATATATTTGATTTTTTTTTATGCAGGAGAGAAATTTGTATTTAAAGACGACGCATATAAAGAGGCAGTAAACCCTGGTCAAGGCCTACGGCATCACTAGCTTCATGCTATTGGTGTCAAGTATCCCACAGCCCATAAAACAAACACTCAAGCAATCTGCAGCTTGTTTTTATTCACCGTTTATCAAAGGAGCCATTGAAAGCCCATCCGAGGAAAGATCCTCCAACGGCATGCCGTGAATAGCGGTCAGAAGAGATCACCTTCCCGAGGACCTCGCCAACGAGTGCACAGTCTCAGCCGTGCCTCCACGTGAGAGAAGTGCTGGCTCGACTGCAGAGCGCCCAGGAAGAGCGATGCAATTCATTTGCTAGCTATTAAATACGTCTTTACGCCGCTGCCACTCACGCTATCTGGATCATGCGGGCGGCTCCCAGTGTCTGAGGAAAAACTCATTCTGTGACATTTACTTCTTTTGAACTGACATAAAACGAGCACTGCTTGACTCGCGACCCTGAACACCCGGAGATAAATCCAGCTCGGATGCAGGGAGACTGATCTGATCTTATCAGCGCAGTGATTTGTATTACACACGATTCTACTGTTCTAGAAAAAGGCTTCGGGACGCAGAAAATAATCACTGAATAAGAGACGCTGTGCAGAGGCGGGGCGGGGAAACGAAAAATACTTGATTGAATAGGAGAGGAAACGGGGCAGAGTTCAGACATCGACTGTCACACACATCTCATGGGTCGTTATTATTATGCAGGAGCTTCAGAAATGTTTCCCAAAGGCGTCGTGACTGGAGACAAAATGACGGCAGGTCAACCTGCTGGAGCGATCAAAGACCCCGTGATTTGTTTCGCTGTCCCGGGCCCTGGCCAACTAACATGGACCAGGGTCCCATTTAAGGCTATAAATCCCACCTGCTGAACTGGCCACTGTGAAAAAGGGCCTGAAGTTTGGAGAAGTAGAGAACGAGCCCGCGGTGTCTTGCTTTCACCAGCTGGCGCCTCCGGGTGAGCCGGTTTACCTTTGCTGAAGTCCTTGGGATCGAGTGACAGGCTGTATCCAGGCAACGTCTCCAGCAGCAGCTTGTAGCAGGCCCTCCAGCCGGGCTCCGGGATGGTGGGAGCCACGCACTGCATGGCCGCCACGCGCTTGAAAAAGGCCGACTTGCGATGAAAGCCGATGAGCTGGTAGAGCTCGGACAGGATGCTGTAGCGTTGGATCTTCTCCTCTTCTGAGAGCTACGGGCACGGAGACGGAGTCCTCGTTTAGTGTAATGTAACGGTGTGCATTTCATTACATACAGGCCTATACTTACATGCATGAAGGATTATTACATGGCCATTTTTAAATTTTGATCAACCATTAACCTACTGGCTCCCTATGAAGACCACTTTTATTGTTTTCATTTAGTAGAAAACAAGATATGTGGCAAACACAGGTTTGTGCCTCCCCATATTACATACATCATAATAATACATCATAATCTTTGTAATCGATCAAGTCATTTGACTATTTTTTGGAATATTTCTTTTGACCACTTTTTTTCCAGCGGTTCCCCATGAAGACCACTTTTTTTCATTTTCTATCTCACTTCCTGGAGATCTTTGACCATCCAAATATAAATATTGGGCTGTGACATCTACAAAGACTACAAAGAAGCAGCAGATTGCTCTCCATCTGTAGTTGCACAGGTATGTCAACTGGCTTCAGGCTTTAAAGCACCAGTTATAAAATCATAGATATTTTAGAGGAATCCATATTTCCAAACAGAAACGCTGAACCGCTGGGTTTTTCGTTGATAGAAGGCGGTCAGATAGCCTACCTGTCCCAGGTTGATGTAGACGGCGTTTTGCAGGAACTCGGAGGCCTCCCTCGCCCTCTTCTGAATGGCGAGCACCCGGACCGCCTTCACACAGGCCTCCAGCTCGATCACGCCCGCGTTCTTGTACTGCGGGAGATAAGGGGAGGGGGGGGGGGAGGGGGTGCGGCGTTTGTGGGGGAGATAGTTGATGAGCGCCGCTTCTCTGACCTTCCCCATAATCAGTCACGGCCCACGTGGAATGACTCAGATCCCCTGTTGCTCGCTTTATGAGGCTTTCAGGTGCTTCAGCAGAGAGGAAAAGGGGTTTCACGCTGTCAGCGAGCGTGTGCACTTTTTTGTGTTTTTTTTTTTTTTTTATCTCGCCGTCCCTCAATTTCCCTCCACTTCCACCCTAATTGTGTCCCTATTAAAATTCAATTAAAGCCTGAACGGCTATGTGTTGAGATGTAATTTAATTCTGAATGAGCTAGTTACAGGTATAAGGGCTGAGGGAAGTCAGTGCAAAAGGCAATTATAATAATGAAGATAAAGCACAGGGTTGCTTCAGAATAGTTTGGTAGCATAATGATCCTATTCAGCTTGGCCCGAAGCATTCGGGTTACTTTTATACTCTTCTTTGTGACTTTGCACACGCACTGTGGTCAAAAGGAGCTACAGACGTATTATGCCACTTACTGGTACATTATTCATGTGGTGTTCGCCGTCAAAAACGGCTTCATATCAGCTTTTTCACTGCCAAGGAAGTTTTTAATGTTCCCTCGGAGTATGTAGTGGCGAAGCTTGGACTCAAACCTGATCAAACGCTGCCCCCTGGTGAACCTTTTTTGCAGGGGAGGGGGGGGTTCAATAGATCCCAACAATATATGAGAACAAACCCTGGTCAATTAATAGGCTGTGGGTGGCGAAGACAAAGCAACAGGAGAGAACACTACCTGTCGTGAGATATTTATCAATTGTCAAAGGGTGAAATAAACCACAGCCTCCATGAAGCTCATTATGCAGGATTCTTCTTTTAAAAAGTGGATGGATTAATCAATCACTTTAAACCATTACGTCATTTCAGTTGATTGACCGTTTAGCTGAAATTGACACAAGCTCCCAATCAGACAATAAGCTCTCTGTGCTAATTTAGCCAGCAGCGGTTTGCTAAAAACTTTACAACTATATCCCAAAATAAACTTTTTAAACCCCCGGCTCGTAACTATATTTAATTCAACTGCGATGTGGGCTGAAGCTTTGGTGAGAGGGTCAACGTGGGTTACCTTCCCGTAGTAGGAGATGGCCTCTTTGTATTTCTCGATGATGTCCTCGGGGCTCAGGCAGTTCTTCGCTCTCCCGATCTCCGTGCTGGTGTCGGCACTGATGCCGTTGGCCGTGAGGGCCCCTGCGCTCACAAGAGGACGGGACGCGGTTAGACTCAAGAGGGACGCCGGGGTGACCGTCCAGCGGTCCGCTCCAGCACGCGAGGAAAGGAAACGGGAAGGAGGGGAAACTCAAATCCACCGATACTCGTTTGACAGATGCCGCCACATGCACTTAAGACACAATAAGACACGGATGAACAGCGCTCAGAACGGTGGTCACTTCAAGACTGACAGATAACAACAGGCGATGTAGAATGAAAAGCATCGTCCCGCTTTCGCAGGCCCCTCGGACGGGATCGCCGTGGGCCTTGTTGCAAAAGCCTCCCGGGTGGAGTTTAAGTCGCACCCGAAACCTTTACAGGGGCAAAATTGCAAGCAAAAAAAAAAAGCTGCATCGCTTGACCAAATCGCATTAGAATGCAGATACAGATAGAGGGCGCATCGCCTGGCTAACGGGGCTGTGTCCATGGCAACGCTGTGGTGCCGTCGCCACGACAATCGTGTGACTAACGAGATGCTGCGCTGCAGCGCTTCACTCAATCATTGCACCGAGGTGAATGCAGTATTTCTTAATTACTGAGCTGATGAAGTAACAGAACCTTGCAGTTTATGAAAGTGAGAGGTGAAGCAACAGCTTATCAGTAATAGGCAGGAAATTAAAGTAGACACTAGCGGCGAGGAGCTGCCACCTGCTGGGCTGAGGGACGTGAAACCTTGTGATCAAAGCTCCATCTGCTCAAAAGGAACAATTTTACCTCTTTGACAGTAACGTGATCTTTGTCTAATAATCAGGAGTAAGATGGGAGCGGTTATAGAAACAGAAAATATAAGCTACAAAGACTGATCTTTTTAAGTCTTTGATTGTAGTCGTGTGATGCTGAACACAAAGGGGGGGAGGAGGGGGGGGCACATCAATTACTTCTCAAAGAGTAAAATGAACCATAGCAGATAATGTAAGATGGAAAATGAAGTCAAACACAGGGCGAATGGGACCAAAGCAATACGGTAGATTGTGGTCTACAAGAGCTACGTTGCTTGGACATACCATACCTGGGTCAATGAGAACCTCCTGAGCTCCTACAGATAGAGAGAAAGAATGCAGATTCACTCCAAGGCGCAATGTTAGCGGTGTTAGTCCCAACAACGTCCCTACTGGCTGCAGCTGCTCTCCTAGGAAGTGTGCTAGGCAAGAAATGTACGTTTTTGACCTCCAGTGGCTCCATTTTGGGGTTTGTTGGGAGGAGAAGCGCACACACACACACACACCCACACACGTGTGCACGGAGGCAAAAGCAATATCGTGATCAAGTGTAAACATTTATAGTGGTAGAAATAATCTTCTATTTTTGACCATTTTACCTTCCTGTCAGAAAACCCTTTCTGACGCCGTCGTATTCATCGATTCATCTCCAAAGCCACCAGACTCCATTATCAAAAACATCATTTCATACAGCAGAACACAGGATGGATGGATGGATGGATGGATGGATTGATCAGATGAAGATGCGGAGCGCAATTAAACAATAATTACTTTCACTACATTAATCAACAAGTCCTCGAATGATCACATCCTAAAAGCAGCTCTTATTCATCGCTCATATTCTGTGGTAGCGCACAATGACACAGTCTTACTGTGTGTTAATAGCGTGTTAATAACAGCGTGGAACGACGTCACCTTCTAACACAACCAAGAATGCACAAAGGAAGCAGCGGAGCGGCGTTTTGATTCGCCAGCTGGCCCTCACACACACACACACACACACACACACACACACACACAAGTTGTACTTCTCTCCACACCGCGGCTTCGAGTCGGCCCCCTCGCGGAGGGATGTGCTCACCTGGTCTGTGGCGCTTCCCTGCGTCCGCCGGCTGGGAGACGCTGGGCTTCCGTCCCACCGTCCTCCCCGCCGTCCCTCCGGGGTAGTGGAAGATAACGGAGGCCGAGCACAGGCCCTCCAGAGCGGCTGCAGACAGCAGAAGACCAACGTTTCCATCTGCACGCGGCTCTTGTTGGTTGTTCTTATCGTAGGTCTTTGCAAGTTCTAAGACTTTACTCGATTTACAGCCGATATCATCAGATATTTTGAGGTGATCACATTGCTTATTTGTGAGCACTGAAAAGCACATTTTTCCTCCTTAGATATTCAAGAAATTGTGACTTAACATTTTTGATTGTAATAGGGATGCTTTTGTGTTGGACTAAAAAATGAATAATCCAATCTTGATACTGGTATTACTGATCTCAAAAGTCCAGCAGCTGCTGAAACGTACTGTAAAGTCATTCTAGCCTTATAATCGGATTCGACTCGACTTACCGCCCAGCCAGAGGAAGTCGTTCACACCCCTGAGCAGCTCCACAGCCATGTGATAGTGGACCAGGGCGTCCTGCAGCATGCCCGCCTGGAGACACAAGTCCCCGACGTGCTTCCTCATCCGCCCCTGGCAACGCTTTTTATAATGCCTGAGAGAGCAACAAGTAAAGTGAGGAAAAACATGTTCAGACAACAACAGGGTCGATGCTGTTGCTCAAATAAAATAGATCTGTTGGGCTTTCGAATTGATTTTTGTTGATTTCTATCTATTTTTTTTTTGTTCCAAAACAGCTCTGACTTGCTGTTATTGTGCTGTTGCATGTCAGCAGGGCGCCCGCCAGCAGAGGGACACTTGAGTGAATCCTACCAGTCAGCTACAGAAGGAGAAGTGTGACGTGGAGGAGCACAAGCAAAAGGGGAGCAACAAGGAGGAAGGAGCGGGAGCTGACCTACGACCCTGCAGCCGTGCACAGTGTGTGCGCCGAGTCTCAGTGGGGAGCGAGGGGGACAACTACATTGTGGGGGGGGTGAAACACATGATGACAATAAGCCACGGGCCACAGCGGGAGGGCGGAAAGGTGGGGAGTTATTAAGAGCAGAAAGCACAGACGGGGTAAAAAGTGCGCAGCGGGCTTCTTTGAGCAACTAGTGCACTGGAAGTGTAACGCCGTCCCTTTAAATCAGGCCTCGCACATCATATGGCGGGTTTGGTTATAAATGAACAACCAGCGGGGGAGTGGCGACTTTGGCTTGGAGGTCTGGTGTATTCTTTGAAGTTGAAGCCGATGGGATTGTTATGGGTTCACTAAACTTATGAGTCTAACATCTCACCTTTTCACACCCAACAATAAACTCACAGGACAGTATGAGAGAAAAAAAAGAGAAGTAAGACATAAACAAAGGTAAACGAATGAAAATTAATACAGCAAAAATAATAAAGACAGATTTTTAAGAGGAGCATGCAAGGCTGATATGAAGTGAGCAACTTGACCCAGAAATGAAAGACACACTAACTGCTTGCAAACAATGCAGTAAATCACATTAACTGGCTGCAGAGATCATTCAAAGTGCCTTTTAAAAAATGTGCTTTTAAACCAGGATTTTGGGTGCAGAGAACACGTCACAACTCACCTGCTATCCGTGTCCAAACCCACAAAGTCCTTCTTCTCAAAGGGCACACACAGCAGAGGGAGCTTGTCACCAGACTTGTCGGTGGCCCGGTCGAGCCGCTTGGACTCCAGGACAATAAAAATGGACTCCACAAAGTCATCCACGCGCTTCTCCACATCGGGGCAGTCCTCAAAGTCGGGGTAGAAGGCCACGTCCGTCCGCTGCTGCTCCGCGATGTCTCCCTGCAGCCCGAACACCAGCAGGCGGGAATCGTACAGCGTGGAGCTGTAGACCTCCTTCTGGCCGTGGAAGCGCTCGGCGGTCTGGGGCCACTCTTTGTTGGAGGCGCAGGTGGTGATGGAGATGAGGCCCACCACCTTGCGGTGCGTCTGGAAATCTCCCCACTCGTTGTTTTCGGGCAGGTAGTGGTGGCGGTAGCGGATGTAGAGGAGGCGCTGCGAGTCCCTGATGCTCACCTGGCTCACGCTGGCGATTCGCTTGTAGATCTTGAAGAACTGCTCCTCGGGTACGATGCCGACCGGCTGGACCACCACTAAGACCGTCTGGTGGTCCTCGGCACACTGCATGTAGTCTGGCACGCTCATACTCGCATGTGCCTTCACGGGACAGAAGAACCAAAACATTAATAGAGCTGATCATATTATAACAATGACTTCTGTGCAAAATGCTTTTTACCCTTTATACATGTCTTGTGTAGAGAAGAGGTTTCATAAAAACTGCCCTGGAGCCCAAATTCTCCAGAGGAAACAGGTGACAGGTGTTTGTATGGTTTGAGAAACATTTCTATTATTTACATTGTGTAAGGAAGACGTCTCGGGTCAATATTTCAAAATCTAGGCCCTTAACAGTACGGATCAATAATTAGAGAAGGTGAGAAAATGATCTCACTTAACAATAATATATATGCAAAGAAACACATTTAACAAATTATGCCGCCGTCATTGCAAAGATAAACATTAAACAGCTCAATGTGGCTGCTGACGTTGTCACAGAGGCCAGAATGTGACCAACAACGTGTCGTGAAGCAGAAGCCGTGGCGCCAGCTGGCATTTCGCTAATTCTACATCGAGTGAATTATATTATACGGTCGTTTAGCTGACGCTGTATTAACGTCTCAAAACAGTTTCGGTTAGCTTCGCTCAGCTAGCTAAAGAATGAATTAGCGGAGTCGCAGCACAGACTGTTATAACAATTCGTTAATGCGCGTGTCAGCTGGGGGAAGTTTTGTTTCAGTCGTTCACACCAAAGGCTTTAATAATTAAAGCGTACTCACTTTATCTTGGCTGTAACCTGTCAAAATATTACAGCTTCCTTCTTGGGACAAGTGTTTAGCAACAACTAATGCTAATCAACAGTGCAACATCCGGTGGCTGTTTTCAAAGTAAAACAATCACAGGCGTCAGTGAAGATACTGATTTTAATAACAGCATGCGTTATTCGATCTCTTTACCCTTGTAGCTACCGAACTTTGAATATCTCTATCTGCGCCTCTACAATATACACATTATAAGTATGTCCCAATTGACAACATTAACAAATTTGGGGAGTAGAATACGAGATGGCACAATGTATTGCAGAGCAAAGGGCTCATCTGGGGAGATATGCAATTGTAAACCACCATACACACGATATTTTCTTTTCTAACCTTCTCCAAACACGATGTGATAATTAAGACTTTCATGGTTGTATCTTGTTCATAGCAGCACTATGCAACTTTGTGTCTACTATGCCACAACGTTTTTCATTTAGTTTGAAATCAGGATCAAGGTTTCCGGTTGTGTCTCTTCTTCTTCAAAATTAGAAGTCTCATAAGCCACATCAGCACCTCCCAAAGGAAAAATGAGGTATTACATTTGAGCAAACCAATGACATTGTTCTTCAAATGTATTAATTCCTAATTGCTCATTATCGTTCATTTGAATAAATCATACGACTCATTTGATTAAACTCAAAATATTCATCTAGATGTTATCCATTGAATCTTAAACCAACAAACTTGATCAGTTTGAACAAACCTGCTGTCATGTTATCATATGCGTGGCATAGTTAAGTGCGAGGCATCCATGCAGTGTTGCCATAAATGTCTTGACAGTGCAGATTGTGTGGAAGACGCCCTTCATGTGACTTTTCTGGCAGTCAGACTATTCCACTGACTGCAAATGACAAATGACTCCATTGTGGGTTTGCGAATGTCCACACGCTAACTTAAAAATTCTACACATACGAAAAGGATATAATGGATATTGACAATGGATATAATTGACTAGTTTTAATCAAGCTAGTTTTTTGTTATTAATAGTGCTAAAATTAAGAAATAATTAAAAACACCAGACATGTAGATTCAACTCCATTTATCACCCATAAATCTTTTTTTTCACAATCTTCTTGGAAGACAACAGCGTTTTAGTCCCGATTCTCTTTTTTTTGGCCAAGAGGAATTGGTCCAAAAGCAAAAGCTCAGAGAGAGAGAGAAATGGAATGTCATAGTGATAGATTCATAGTGAGTACACATCAATAACAGGCAAACACTTCTACAACCATTGACTTACAAACCACTGCACAGACATTGTGTGTGAAGGCTGTCTCTACCGGCGATCCCAAACTGTAACGACACGAGTTTGACGAGACGGGTGAAGGAGGTCCGGGGGGGCTGACAGATGTTACAAGTCAGCGAAGGACCCATGTAGAAAAAAAACAACGAATGTGCACACATAAAAGAGCCAATAAGGAAAACCTTCCCTTTTCCCATGTGGGGAGTTCTCCCTAAAGCTGGTAAGACTGAGTCGGGTCAACTAAAAACCACTCCGGCTTTGACCTTTGTGTCTGTGCTCATAGCGAGGCGGGGCTTCACTGTACGGTGGTCACATGACCGCATCTGTGAAACGGAAAACCTTGAATAAAGTGGAGGAAATGATGGGCTACGTGGTTGAAGGCTGGAAGATCCACTTTTGAGGCTCATCGTTTGAAAACCATATGAATATGAGTGATAAGGAGCACCCTCCTTAAAGGGGCCATGGAATACGTGGAAGGTAACACTAAGGAGATATCCACCAGCATTACAGATGAATATATTGGCACCGAATGTGTTCATCCTGCTCCACTGGGGGATGGAATCTAGCAGCAAACTACTGAAATGTTCCACCTGATTACCAAGCGTTTAAATGACTTCGGCCCATTGGTGACCACGGCCACAAACCTCAGGAGAGGGTTTGGTTCCAACACTAAAACTGTCAGTATTGGAATATTTTTGTACCACATGTGGTTATTATTATTAGTCGTGAAGTGCGGACTAACGCTGATCTCCAGCTGCACACTGGAAACATGGGGAGGGTTTTAAGAGGTTGCGACGTTCAAAGCTCACCACTAGATGTCACTGAATCCTACACACTGCAGCTTTAAAGCAACAGCGTGCACAATCTGTGAATTCGTCTTGAATATAATTATTCAACACACTGTTGGCAAAGCTGGCAAAGTACACGGATACCTTCAGGTGGAAGCAGGTTAATAGCCTGAATACTGTTAATGTGTGATTTAACTTTGTAGATGATGAACCTTCTTATCTAGTTTTATCTTTGTTGTATAATGTCCCCTATAAATGTACCCTTTGGATTTTTTCACCACTGGCAGCGCGGAGGACAGATGCTGAAAACAGGTGAGACGCTGATCGGACCGGTTTCAAGGGGCCACACCTTAAAACATGGTTTAATTTAATTCAGTTTGTTTCCACTTCAGAACCAAACATTTCTCAAAACACTGCATGAAGTGACCAATGGACCCAAACCACGAAAAGCTGTCAACGCCCCCCCCCCCAAAAAGAGGCATCTTACGGTCTCATGATTAAATGGGTTTGAGGACTTTTCAGTCCTTGCTACTTCCCAGAGCATTTGCATCCGTGTGAAGCAAAAAGAATTGTGTGCGGTCGCGTACAACACTGAAACTGGAAGGCTACAGAAAAAAGACGACAAACGTAGATAAGACTGAGTGGTGATGGTGCGTTTGGTCTGCAGAGGATCAGGAGGATTCTGGATGAACGCGGTCATCCAGTGGAGTAGTTTGAACTCCGGCATTCATGCGGCTGCGGCCAAGATTATTCAACCCAATTACTGCAAGTTCAATCATCCCAGTGATTCCTAGTGGAATCGCGGCACATAGTAACACTAGACTCTCAGACGGGGAAAAGGTCAGAAAGAAATCAAAAAGGAACAAACAAATTAAGACTGAGTGAAATGGTGCTGGAGGGGGAATGTGTGTCTTCTGGTTAGTTAGATATTTGGCATTCTTCGGTATGGCATTGAAAGTGAGTGTATGCTGCCGGTGGTCAGAAAGAGACTGCATAAAGGGCCTCCATTAGGGCACAGGGTGTGGAGGGAAATGGGGTTGAGACTGAGAAACTGCACTCCTCACGCCAGCTTCAGAAATTGGTCCACTGTATCCGCTTCCACTGCCTCAGACAACATGTCGTAGTCCTGAGGAGAGGAACAGTTTCAGTCAACAAACAAAAGCATACGGAACATCTGCGTAGTCTGAGAAACCGAATGACTCGGGTCCATGAGTGGGCTTCACGGCCAGGGTTCAAGACTAGTGCTCCACAGCTACGACTCATTGCTAGTGTTCATGGTTTGGAGCCATTGCTAGTGTTCATGGTTTGGGTTTACAACTAGGGGTCATTGCTAGTGTTCATGGTTTGGAGCCATTGCTAGTGTTCATGGTTTGGGTTTACAACTAGGAGTCATTGCTAGTGTTCATGGTTTGGGTTTACAACTAGGGGTCATTGCTAGTGTTCATGGTTTGGGTTTACAACTAGGGGTCATTGCTAGTGTTAATGGTTTGGGTTTACAACTAGGGGTCATTGCTAGTGTTCATGGTTTGGGTTTACAACTAGGGGTCATTGCTAGTGTTCATGGTTTGGGTTTACAACTAGGGGTCATTGCTAGTGTTCATGGTTTGGGTTTACAACTAGGGTCATTGCTAGTGTTCATGGTTTGGGTTTACAAATAGGGCCTCACAGCCGGCCCGTATGACAGAATGCGTATGTGTGCTTTCCTCACCCCACAGTACTGGTCGTCGTTGAAAAGCTGGGGAGGGACTGCCGTGGGGTTCCCTGCTTTGCTTCTCATTTCGTCACACACCTCGCGGCCCACGGAGATGTCGATGAGCTCGTACTGGATGCTTTTACTTTCAAGGATTCGCATCACTTCTGCCTGTTGAGACTTCACCTGAAAAAGATAAATAAAAAAATGTACTGAAGTCCATCACACCGAGGAGGAAGCCGTCCCTGAGCATTTTATCGGCATGTGGTGACATTTCTGATCACAAACCCTGCTTTTATCGAGTGGATTTTGGTAAACAATTAACTAAATGAGGTAGTTTCCTGTAAAGAGCAGCGGCTGTATCTGGCTCCTGGTTGATGATTAATGGACCACGAGGAAGCTCTGCTCTCGTTTGGGGCGAATGAGGAAGTTGGGGGGGGGGTTCGTAAAGTGACCACACCCAAACAACTGAAAACAGACAAGCGGGCATTTATTCATGTCCTCGGGCTAAAAGGGGGACTTGCTTTTAAAGAGCTTGTCTGATTGTGGAGGTACAAAGTGATAGCAGTTATCAGAGCCGAATGCCCGTTGCAGTTAGGTTGTAAGGAGTGAAAACCCTTTCTTGGCGTGCTGCGTGTCGTTTAGATTAAATAATACAACAAGGTTAAATACACACATTTTCCTGAGTGAATCTGCTGCAGCCTGGTCTCCCTTTATAAGGAAATTTGATTAGATCGAATAATGAGGACAGTTACCTGGAGCCATTACTGCACACGAGAGGGTTAAAACCTCCCTGAACTTTTCCACAACATGATGAATTCCTCACGGATAATTGGAACCAGATGTTCGGCGTGGGGGCTTTGCCATGCACAGGTTTCATACTGCTGTGGGGGGGTTCCTACAAGATGTGTTTTACAATGTTTGTTGACGTCTGGATGTCAACTCGTTAGTCGTTTTTTTTAACACTTTGTTAAAGTCAAATCAGTTAAGGCTATCCTGCTTTAAAACTAACGCATGCGTGAAATAATTGACTTTTCCTGAATTAAAAGGGGGCACTGGGAAGTTCGGCTGACAGATGAACAAAAGCAGGCAGCTCTACCTGGAGTCACTGTTCGGATCGTGCTTCTCATGTTCTCATGGCCGATGAGCACCAAACTACAGGAACTAGAACAGGAACATTAAGAAAGGACAAAACCCACACGAGAGGAAACGCATATCAACCCGTGCTGTTCGGTGCGTGTCACGCACGAAACACACGCGGGTTAAAAGCACCTTTGCTTGTCTAAATGCAATAATGATGAAAACCTTAAAATGACGGATTTTCACACGAAGTTTGGCGTCCGCTTCTCGGCACAGGAAGCGGACTCACAACGTCCCTCGCTTCGCCGGCGCGCATTAAGCGACGAGCCGCGAGGCCACCGGGCTGGTGCCGTTTGGTCAGCGTCCGCAGTCCCAACCGGTTTGCCAGGAGACGTTTCCGCGAATAAACACCGCTTGGGGTTACAGTAACGGCGGAAGCGGGGCCCGCCGCGCCGTTAGCCCGGAGGAAGCTAACGCACCTAACGGACCGACGTCAGCGGGGAGCGCGCGGGGTGTGTCCGTCGCACCGCGGGCACCGTTAGCCCGCCGCCACCGCGGCGTCTAAAACACACAAAACGCGGCGTTACGTCCGTCCGAATGCGGCCTCTTGACTCACCGTCCGCGAGGCCGTGACGGTTGTGTAGTACAGTTTGATTCCCATCGCTGCGGGTCTTTCCGCCTGCTTCCGTGTGTCTGCCTGCGAGAGTGACTTTCTCTCGCGTGCGTCAAGCTTGACGTCGTCCGTTAAATCTGACGGAAGTTTAACGGTGTTTTCAAAATAAAAGACACGGATTTTCACAGAAAAAATGGGAAATGAGCACAAGGTTGGGTGTAATATGTTGTTTATGGTATAGTATACATTCACATGTGTATGGCTTGGTGTTTGAATACAGAAATGTGCCCCTCTGTATAATATAAGTTATTGGTGTATGATTGGTCACTGTTTCATCCCTCCATGGCAGGAGATGTCTTCAGCAATGCAAGACACGATGTTACACCGGTTGTTAAAAAGTCGTAAAGTTAGGCCAAAGCTAATCTCAGATTTCAGCAGTCTAAAGTAGACGAGCCAAGTCGGTGTCTGTTGTCTTTTCATACAAACTAAAAGCAGGCCGTTTTGTAACCTGCCCAGAAGATTTAACTAACCAAGACTGCCAATGTCTCTTTTATGAGTGTTTATTTTAAGACAGATGTGAGAAATGTGAGCCTATCCTTCTCCCCTCTTCCATGCGCAGAACAGTATTCTTACAAAGAAACATCACAAGCCCTCGGGTATTCTGTGTAGTCATGTGGGGAAACACAAATCGATTTATGAACGTCATCTACACACAGTAATAGCTCAATAATGAAAACCTAGGATTTAAATGAGGGACCCTCTTCAAGCCGTGGCCTAAGGACCAAACCAGTAAATAAGGAAGCACCTGTCGGTTGATATTGTGCTTTGGAGGCAATTACCTTACTCCTAAAGCAAATTACATTTCAATAAAGAAAAGAGAATCATATCATCAATCATCAGACAGTGAAAATGGTGCTTATGCAGTTCATAAACCACTACCCTTCAACACATGTTTTTTATGTTCGTAAAGATCTGAGAGAATGATTATAAATGAATCAAGACTTTTTGAATCGTTTAATTGCTTAAGTAACTTACAATGCAAAATGTCACAAATTCCTCAGTTCCATCTAAATTACGCAGATTTTTTATATTTTGTATTATGTGAGAGCCAAACAAAACAGTTGGAGGTTTCAGACATTTTGCAACAAAAATTTATTCTTTCCTGATGTTTTAATAGAAGCTTGATATTGGAAAGAATGACAGGAAATGGTATTTTGTGTTGTGGTCCACTTGACTCTAGTCTCCCTCCAGATTGAGGATTACTGGCTGCTCATTTAAAGACACAGTGCACAAAGAAAATCATACTAAACTATACTCTTAGGTCAAACTGTAATATATTTATATTAATAACTGTGAGGCTTATCAATTGAACTTGTTATAAGTTCTTTTTCTCATCTTTTCTTTGATTTTCTTCACCCCCTTTTTTACATCTTGTTTTCTGCTCCAATCAGATCCACATGTTGGTTCATTATTTTAACTTTGTATTGTGAACAGCATTATTTTGTACTTTTGCTACTTTACATCCCTGATTATTAACTTTAGTTTTTCCGTTATTTAAATTGCACCACTTCTCTAGTATGTAGAAGTTGACTTTAATATTTGCCATAAAAACTTTTTTTGATTACTTCAGTGTGGTCAAATGTTTATGTTAATGAACCATCAAATCCCCATGTGATGCATCAACAAACCAAAATCCAGAGGGGCAGTTTTAAAATGTTTATTAAAAAATAAAATAGAAAAAAATATATTTACATAAAAATGTCAAAAAAAAAGAAAACAACAACCACAAGCTGTGCAGTGGTTCCCTCTGTCACCGGTAGCTCCGTGTCCATTCAGAGGGCCACTGCTCATGAATCAGCCAGCTTAAAATCTCTCATCATGGCAGGGTGGGAGGGGGGGGGGGTATTACATAGCATTAATGTGTACGTGTGTACGCCAAAAATGTCAGCGTCCCCGGCCAGCTTCCTTTTACACCACATCTGGAGACGTGAAGGAGGAGAGCGAGCCACACTGAACCTCTGAGATTTCCATCCATACAGACTTCCTATGGTACTGCATGTCAAGTCTTCTTGTCTCTGCTTTTTTCCCCGCTGTGGAGACGCAGGCAGCCCTGACCGCCCCGACAACAACCTGCCATCAGCCATTTCATCGGTTCAGGCCGTCACTGCTGGTTGTAAATCGCTTCAAAAAAAAAAAAAAGCAGACGTGGCTGTCGGGGATGCAGCTTGAAGCGACATCGTCCTCGTGATCCAATTTATAAATCAGGCTGGGATCGCATGGAACTGAGCATTTCATGCGGCGAGCCGACCCCCCTTCCTTTGGATGGGGATAAACAGGGTGCCGGGCGCATCTACGGAAAGCTGCCGGTGTCCATGATGATTCCATTTATTCCCTCAATTCATCAAACTTAAGGAGGAGTTTTGGAAACCCCTTATTTCGCGGGTTTGACTGGGGGCGATCAGAGTTGCCATGTTTAGAAAATAGAAACCGAGGCGAAACACAAATGGGCATAAGCGCTCTGACCTACTTTTCCACAAAATAAAAAGAAGGGCCGCGGGCCCCTCTTGCAAAGTGCCCCAGCAAGGGCCAAGTCCTTCTCCCTCGGGTGCATTGGGCTCACGGGGGGCGTCTGATAAAAACCCGTGGGTGGGGGGTGGGGGGGGGGGCGAGGCATCAAGTCTCGGTACTTTCTCACACACGTTTCACTAAGTCACCCACTACACAGACCCAGAAGCACACCGCTGACTTTAACATCCCACCCGTAGGTCACATTCAAATACAGGGGGGGGGGGGGGGGGACTTCACATGAGTGGGCTCGTAAGTCAGTAAACATTACTCCAGACCCACAAGCAGGGTTTTGTCATTTCGAGGGAGGAAAAAATAAAAATAAAAACAGACAATAATTTGAATAATCCACTTGCATAGTAATAGTGTGTTCTGGGCGAGTCACGGCCCCACGTCAGCGTGACGCGTTGTGCTCGCCGGTAAACGACGTTTGCGCGCACAGACACACACACACACACACACACACACACACACACACTCAGAGTAAACACAAAGGAAGGCATTGCAAACAACTGGCGGAAGTACCTGGCAGTCAAATATACACAAGACTCCTAAATGGAATCAAAATATAAGTTCCCTTTCACGAGGGTCCCCGGTTCAGGAAGACCACCGCCCTCCCTCCCTCCCTCCCTCCCTCCCTCCTCCTCCTCCTCCTTCCCCCGGGGCCTTTGAGGAGAAAACCGTATGGATGAGCATCTTAGTGTTGATCTGCAGTGATTCCCAGGGGTCGGAGTTGAACTCAGCCCTGGGATCAGATTCACACAAGCGACTGAGGGACTTGAGGAACCGGTGTCTCTTTCTCCGGCCTGTCACTCAGCCAGGACAGCTGTTGTCTTCTCGGTCCCAACCCGCCGACAACACGTGACAGAGACAGCCGAGAAAAGACACGAGCGTGTACGTTTAAGGGAACGGGCACTTTCAGGCCAAAACTCTTCGTAGTCAGGAAGCTCTTCTCTATAAAAAGAAAGAAATAAATCACCTGTAGTGGAGAGAAAGCGGGCCCAAACTGACCGGATACGACAACAAGCACAGTCCCACAGGGGACAGACGGACAGACGCACACCGGGAGGAGGCACTGCTGAGGCTCGTCCCGCTCAGGAGCGACCTCTTCTGGCTCAAAACAGGATTACATCCTTAACTCTGGCTTCTCACGATCTCCCCAGGGTGCAATTTCTCTCCCTCCACTTCCCTCCGTGAAGCCTCAGACAAACTGGACACGGGAACAAAACTTCCACGAGGATTATTCTGTCCACCTACATTTTTCAGAAGACCGATGAAGACAAGTGGAAGGATATGAAGTTAAGAGCTTAGTGTCCTCTTCTGGTGCCGCTTTATCAAACGGAACGACTCGAGACGGAAAGGGAGGGAAGAGATCCGGGTCTTTGAACTGGGGTCTGACTTGACCTGACGACAGACAGGCGCGCACACACACACACACACACACACGCACGCACGCACGCACGCACGCACGCACGCACAACGCTGCCTGGTGAAAGGTTTCGGAAACAAAATTTAAAACGCTACAAAAATAAAACAACTGTATAAAAATGCCTTCACACACACACACACACACACACACACAGACACAATTAAATAAGCATTGACTTTAGCTCAAAAAAGCAAAATAAAATTATTGCACAAATGAAAAAAATATATATATTTTGTTCTTAAGTGTATAAACTGTAAAAAAAAAAAAAAAAGAAAGAAAGAAAAAGTAACACTGAACCACAGGCAGCTTGGCTGCAACGGTGGAGACGAGGTCAAGTGTACTTGGTGATGGCATCATCACCACGTCAAACAAAAAAGACAAAAAAAAACAAAGGCGGGGAGACCCAAAATACTGAAGTAACATAACACTGAAACTAAAAAAAAGTGGGAGCGAACGTCATGCGGACAGGTGACAGTAGGGCAAGACGCAGACCGGGAGGGGGGGGGGGCTGGAGTTCCACGTCACTGCAGCAACAGAGTGAACACGGCTGGTCTCCGGTGCTCTGTGGCCGGTCTGCCTGTCCATCCTCCCTGCAGACGGACCCGGCCCGAGAGGTCGGGGAGACTACCTGCTGAGGCTAACCGGGAGGCTGTCCCTCTTTCTGCGACGCCAAGTGTTGCGGTGATACTGCGTGTGACTGTGCCCGCGGTTAGCCAGGACGGGGTTGTTGACCAGCGGCGGGTTGTGGAAGCCCTTCACGTTGAAATTGGCTGCGTTCTGCGGCGTGTCGAGGAGAGTAGAGAGAGAGAGAGAGAGAGAAATATACAAATAAACCTCCAACTTCTTCACTGAGGAGGCCCAACAAAAACATGCAGCGTTGTCCAGCGAAGTCATGCTGGATTTCTCTGCACTCACCGCTCTAATGAACCCGCGTGCACATTGCAGGGTTACCATGATTATTGCGTGAACTAAAGAGGTTTCTGTACATTCTTAAAATCTTGTGAAATATGCACATGTGATTCCATTCGTGTGTATCCGCCAAATGTGAAGCCAGTGCTAGCTTGCAGTTAGCTTAACAGAGCTAGCCAAGCTTACTCCAAAAAACTCTGAATGTATAACGATTTGAAATATGCTAAAAGCTGTTTATATGCCAGACAATAAAAGTTTTAAACTGTTTGTTCAGGGGAGACATCCTGCCTTCAGCGTGTATGCTAATCTAAGCTGATTCAGTGGTTTCATAACTGACGTACAAAGATGAGCGGAATCAAATAAGGGGTCGAGTGAGGCAACGTAACAACGCCTTGATTAGATGTTTTGTTGTTAATTGGATGAAACTGTTGGATAGTGTCCCCGTTTCCCATAGCAACAAGTACAGCCCGAATGTTGGCGCATCAGGCCACTGATCGGTCATAGACCCCGTGATGGCAAATTAACAGTTTGCGAATTGAGATAGAGAGACAAATTCCACACTTGACATACAGCGCAAGAGAAAGATACTGTGTGTGTGTGTGTGTGTGTGCAGGTGTGCGTGCGTACGCGGCTTCCGGCGCCTACCTTGTGTGTGTGGCTGGAGTGGGGGCTGGGCGGAGACTGGGGGCTGGAGGGGGCGGGGGCATGAGCATGGGCTGGGGGTGGCATGTGGAAGAAGGAAGGGAGCACGGTGTCTATACACACCTGTCTGCCAGGTATGGAGTGCATGGCAAGACCACCGGGCAGCGAGACGCGAGCCTGCAGCACCGAAGGGACAACAATTAGTATCAGACACAATTATTACCAAACCACCCTCCTTTGTGAAGCTATTGCGTGTGATGTCTTCGATATAGTTCTCTGAACTCCTAAACCCGATCTGCATCAGCCACAAACTCCTACCTGTGAGCTGGGATGCAGGAGAAGGTGGTGGCCCCCCATGCCGGGCTTGCAGGGGGCCAAGTTGAGGCCCGGCGGCAAAGCCAGGCCCAGGTGCGGGAAAGACGGGTACGGCGGCATGGCCGGAGGACGCGGGACGGGACACGGCAGCGCCGAATCAGAGTCCTGGCAAACGACACGAAAACCGCAAAACGACGTGAAGCGGCGATCGAGCGCGTACGTGTACACAATCAACGGGACCATGTGCGCGCTTGCTCACGTTGTCGGATCCAGACAGCGAGGACACGGAGGAGGCCGGCGAGTGCTGCCGGGGGCTGGAGATGGACATGGGCGAGTCCGCGCTGTGGGGCGACGCCGAGTCCCGCTGCTGCTCCTCCGCCTCCACGCAGCGCTCGGGCTGCGACGCCGGCTCCTTGGGAGAAGAGACTGCCCCAAGATAAAAAAAAAAAGAATAAAAGATGAGAGGTTCAGCAGTTCACAAATTTGACACACTTTGCTCTGTTGAATTTTCTCTGTATATGTGAACTTTTTAAATTCTTCCTTTAATAGAAACACAGTCTTGGTTTCAAGATGATCAGAGTTTAAGCACAATTAGTCATTTCCTCACTACACATTGAAGTCGTACCTCTGTTGTCTGATCGCGTCAGATCCCTGCCCCCCCACTTCTTAATGATCCATTCCCTGTAGTCGATAACTTCCTGGGTCAACCTGATTATCCTCCCCAAGGTGCTGCAGGGAGGGGGAGAGAGAGGGAGGGAGGGAGGGAGGTTAGAACCAGAACCACTCGTATTTAGTGAATCCTCGGTGCGGTTGAGCGGATGGAATTCAGACCTTTCAGAGTCTTTGTTGGGATAGGACCGTGCGAGCGGAGACACGGCATGACTCAGGACAGTGTAGGCGTAGTCGAACACCTGCTTGACATGCAGGGCGCCGTAGGAGCCCCTCCCCACATCGTTACCTACGCGGCGTAGAGAAAAAACGCAACGAGACCAGTTGAGACATTTTAGAAAGGGCGCCAGAGAAATGAGACGTCATCTCGACTATGCGATCCACACACACACACACACACACACACACACACCTGGGAGAAGTGGGTCCTCTATGCAGAGCGTGGACGGCCGGTATCCATTCGTCATGGCCTTCATGATCTCCTCTTTGGGAATGTATGCGCCTCCACTTTTGATGCGGATCCCAGTCTTCAGGTAGTTGAAATGGCGTCCGTACAGCTCAAAGAACTCAATCAGCAACACGCCCAGATTCTCACTGGGGTTTCTGGCGTCGATGCGAGGATGGAGCTGGAGGGCGGGCACGGGGAGACTGGATTAGTGTTCATTTAAAAGCACTTCTGTGCATTAGTTAAGCTTGTAGGGATGTCCATTTCTGGAGGTTGGAGGCGTAAGTGAGAAATATTTGATCTCCTCCTGAACCTCCTCCTTTTTACGAGCATCAGTCTGCACTCATTCTTAAACAGTTGGATGCATTAAAGATGCTTTGAAGTAAAATCCCTGGCTGACATTGCGTCCAAGCGGCGGTGGGAGGGGCATGATGGCAACCACAATGCCAGCTGTCAAACTCTCAAATATTTACTTAAATTGCTTTTTTTATTCACTTTGCCGTCACGGTTTCCTGTGGACTCAAATTGTATCACAAGGCTTGTTGTTGTTGAATCAAGAAAATGCACAATAAGACTATAATTAACAGAAATAGGAAATGAGCTTATATGTAATAAATAAAATAGCTGTGGCCGATGCCAGGATTTCAAATAAAAAACAGGCTTTATGGAGACTGGCTGCATATTGGTCCTTTGGTAGGTTTCAGCACTCGGGACAGCGCCTCCCCCACCCCCACAGATTACCATCTGTGCATCTTAACGTACCTGCAGGAAGCTGATGACCATGAGGATGAGGCTGTACGAGCTGATTCCCCCGGTGAAGACTTCGTTGAGGTCCCTCTGCAGCAGAAACTGCTTCAGCACAAAGATCAGGTAAGGCAGCACGGGATACATCTGAAAGCAGAAGGAGAGCGCAGATTCAGTCAAACTGGGGATTGGGCAACAGGACGGGGGGGGGGGAGAAGCAGATTTCAAATGAGGACCTTGTGCGGATTCCTGGTGAGAAGCGGAGAATCCCATAAGTACACTAGACTACATTCAAAGTAAAAGACGTAAAATTATTCTAAATAATTATTTGATATAATTTGGCGTCACGGCTGTGAAATCAAAATGTCAATTTAATTTGCCTGATTTTTCATTCAACGGTTGGCCACTTCTTTTAGGAGCAATTACAGTTCCTTTTAGTCAATTCAATTATGTTAATAGCGTTCTGATTCAGCAATTATCAGACAATCATTAAATATTCATCATGTTTATCCACGCTGTAGACTTTGTGACAAACAATTTACTAGAATATTAGAGAGGAAACTGTTGCCAGAGGCTTTTTTCACACACATTTCAGCGGTGACTCTTGCTTATTATTTCCATACTATTTGATCCGGCTGTCTTGGTTTCTTTTGAGTAGCTATAATAAAATGCTAATGACGTTTTTTGAATAAACCAAGAAGAATCAATCTTTTTCCCTTGAAGAAAAAAAAACATTTAAAAATGAATTATTAACCAACTTTCCGGTGAATTCAGAAGAAATCGCAATGAAGACAAAATAAAAACACCTAAATGTCTATTTGGAATTTTCTCTTTCAGAGAATCAAAACCAGCACAGAACCATGAAATGTGCAGTGTCGTCGAGACCACGGCCTAGAGATGGAGTTCTGACACACGATGAACAAACCCCCCGGGTGACCTCTCAATAACTCGACCCCCCCGCCCGCATGTGAGTCGACTACACCGACTGCCACAGGCCCGATGCCGAGCTGTGACCCGCAGACCCAGAGGGCCGCGACACGACAAACAGAGCCGACGGCTCGCTGCGGATCAGCTGCTGGAACCCCCTCTGCCGCGGACGCCACTCCGGCCGAGACTGGAGCGGGCGGAGGCCGAGGGTTTATTGAGCGGAGGCCGAGGGCTCAGCGGCTGCGTGCCGACTCGGTGGATTTTGGAAATGAGACATGCCAGTTCACGATTGGAGTAAAGTGTAAATGCTTTCAACTGCCGGCTCTGCCGGAGTCGAGGAGGGAATTTCAAGTGCTGCTTTTAGACCCAGCTGTTAAAATGGGTATTATGTGACTCCTCTGTTGTTGTTTTATTTTTCTACATGGCCTTTTCCTCTCTTCCTCCGTCTCTGTGTAGGACTTGTAATGAGTTTTTAGACCGAAGATTTCACGATCCCAATGCGTGTGTAAAACTAAAATGACATTGTGCTTCCTGCCGGCAGTCCGTCGCAGAGGCACGTAGCTGTATCTCACTTTTACATAATCTTTAATAAGAGCTGCCCGCCTTCACCCCCGTCTCCGAGTTGAAGCTGATGTCCACCTTCCCCTCTGTCTCCTGTTCCGTCAACTTGATGATCGGCACCTGGAGGGAGAGGCGTCCCATGTTTTGGCAACCATTACAGTCAGGTCATCGGGCAGGGACGGTTCCCCAGTTTGATTTTTTGGAGGGCCCGGCCGGGGGGGGGGGGAGGGGGGGCCATCCCAGACTACATTTTAGACCAAAGTGCTAATTTAAAAGATGAAAGTTCAGCGTGTCGTGCTTATTATCCTGCCAGTTAAGGCGGCGGTGAGGTCGCTTGCGGTGGTTGGCCTGGTCGTGTGCTCCCCCCACAGGATGATAGTCCACGCTGCTGAGCAGTAACCAGATTACATGTGGCGTGATATGCCGTTGTAGCAGCGAGATAAATGTTTTGGCTTCTACAAATAGGGAAAGTAACAGCGAGTAGTCGGTGAACGAGAGCAGACTTCAGCAATGTCATAGTGAGCACCAACTGTGTGTATTTACAGGTGGACGGGAGAAATCCACACACAACTGGCAGTGTGTGTGTCCCCTCTCACAAACAGATGGACAACACTAATTAAGTCTCTTCCTTTCCCCCCTCGTGTTTCCATGGAGACAAAGGAGCGAGTGGGCCAAAGCTTTATACCTCCTCCTGACCAGTTGAAATGCGGGTAATAAGTGCTGCCAAATTTAGGGTTTGGCCGAGTTTGTTACAATTGCTTCCCCATTTACTGGGGCCGTTGTATTCCGCCACTTACTGTGAATAACTGAACCTTAAGCAGGACAAAAGTTAACAGTCACACTAATATGTTGGGCCAGATCGTTGCTCTCAGCGGATACGAAATATTGCATTTCTTGTGAATGCTCTTGTGGGTTCGCTGCCCACCGCTGTGGCTTTACTTCAGGACCCCCGCCGTGGTTACTCACTGTAGCCTTGTCCAGCACTTTAATGGAGAAGGGTTCGGCCACGTTGTGCTTGCGTAGAGCTTGTTCCAGCTCCTGCAGCGGGGGGCGCTCCCACTTCCCGAACACCACCAGGTCGATGTCGCTGAGGGCAGAGAAACACATTGGGGACGTTCAAATACACCAGGTATGAAGTTTACACGGAGCCGTGGTCATCGTTAATGGGAGGGACATACCTTGTTGGGAGGTACAGCCCTGTGCTGAAACTGCCAAATATTTGGACCTGGAGAAGCAATGTTGAAGAAAATGATGATTAAAATCCACAGGGTTCAACTTTTAAACAGGACGGAGTGGGACTTTGGGGGGGTTAGGGGGCAATCAGTTGCTTCCCACGTGCACATACACTTTTGATGTTCTTATTCCCGCTGCGATAGCAATGCAGCAAGTAAGACAGCTTGAAGGCAAACTGGTGCCTGAGATGCAAAACATCAAGGAGTTTGTAATTAGATGCAAGTAATTCGACACGATCAAATGTTGCCACGTACGAAAAGACCCCAAATTAACACCAATTTTGTACAACAGCTCATGCATGGTAATCATTTTTATTTCCAGCTCAAATGTTTCAACGCTGTCAAGAACCCTCCAGAGAAAGTAACCGCTGACAGCGTGAGCAAGCTGCCAATTTAAGGACACAAAAGAAAAAAATGGCTTTTTGTGGGCTGCAAGCAAAAGCAGCAGAGTGGAGTTCTTTCGCTTTCCGTCTGGTAAATACGACAAGGCTACAGAAAAAGAAAAAACAGAGGCCGAGATTAATGGGTCGAAATGAAAGAGGGAGGCTGGTACTGATCAGGGGCTGGATCCATTTCCCCGACTCTGGCTCACAGAGGAGAACGGGAGGACTGGCAGCAGGCCAATCACCACTGCGTGCGTTTTACATGATTAAGTAAAGAGGGGGGGGGGGGGGGGGGGGGGGGGGGGGACATTCCATCACCATTATTCCGCCCCACTCCTTTTTCAGCACTTGCATAGCGAGGGCCCTTCAAGATTTAAACGGGCAGATTGAGGAAAGCCCCCCGCCTAATAAAACCACCAAGTGGGAAGGGGGGGGGGGGGGGGGATGTGTGTGTCTCTTACATCAGCAGTGGGCCACAGCTCCTTGATGATGGTCTCTATCCGGTTCACCACCTCCTTCCTCATGGCCGCTTCCTCTGGCCGAGGGGACATGAAGTTGTAGAGGTCCATCACCTCCTCGTGGAGCCTGAACAGGGGGAGCGGGGGGGAGCCAGAGGTAATGGTTACTCTCCCCGCAGTAACGGACACGTTTCACATGGAGCCGTACATGATGTGGAATCTCTCTTTCCATTTGGAGTTTCACATTTCTTATTGAGAAGTTGTACACAATTGAGAATCATACAAAGATATCTTCATACACATCGTCCAGATGAACCTCAAATGTTGCCTCTTTATAACTGTGCAGGTTAACCCCCGTCATATCAGAGCAGCGCCGTGGTTTGCTCCTGGCTTCCGACCCGGTTAGACACGATGCTCAGCAACACACTGGGTCGGACTCGGTGCCGTGCAACTCTTGGTTTAGTCTCTTTCTCAGCGGCACCACATGCAAACGGGAGGAGCCGGGGACCGAAATGCCGACCGCCTGATTAAAAGGACCACCCGCTCTACCGCCCGAGTTCCGTCCAAGTATGTAGAAGTGTATCAGTCAAGTGAATTACTGAATGTTAGTAACTAAGAAGTTAAATGGGGAGTACAGGAATACAAAATGACTGGGTATAATTACAGTTTTAAAAAGCTTCAAACTACACTTAAAAAAAATCAGTGACAGAACAAACAGGCTGGTTTTTTTAGGCTCACATCCGATTATAGTACAAGCTTTTTTCTCTAACAGAAGCTTAATACTACACTTGGCCGTATTCATAACAGAAGCCGTAACCACAGCGCGCAACATAACCACCAGGCCAGAAATAAGACCAAACAAGAGTGGCCATGGTGAAGAAAGAAGGCGCGGGAAGTCTTTATAGAAGTATCAGTGTCCCTGATCAGGAGACAACCAGGTAGAACATGGATATAAAACCCTCAGAGCCAACGTGGCCCCTGGTGTTTTACTTTAGCAATGAGAGGGCCCCATCGGTGAGAGTATGCCTCCAGTCTCAGGCTTCATAGTTAGTGCCCGTAGGTTTTTGTGTTCGGCAACAGAGGGGTGCATGTAAACATTTCTGACCGGTCAAATGCCTGACAACAGTGGAACTCTGTTCGAGCCTTTCTAGGAATGCATAGCATGATGTCAGTGTAAAACGCCCAACAGGGAGACTGTCACAATCAATTACAAGGGCCCTGGAGGGAACGCAGCGCCCGATCTTTGGTAACAACTCTGCCAGCAAACCAGGGCGTTTACATGCCAACCGACCACCGCTGACGGAGGGCTTGGCCTAGTGTAGGGTCAAAGGTCACTTCAACGAGTGTAGGACCCAGTGTCAAAGTAATCAATGGTGTTTAAAAAAAAAAAAAAAAAAAGTTGCAGTTCATGAGCAGGGTTTTATGTCAAATAAAACCTACTAAAATTTTATAAATATTTTTTTAAAAGCCCACCTAGGCAATTATTTGCATTTTTATTGAAGGGCAACTCCCTCAGTGTGTGGGACTTCACACAGGGCCCCCGAGGGCCAACTACAGCGAGATGTAACCGTGCACAAGACAAAACTTGCACATGTTGCACAAACACAAATTCCCAAAGAAAAAAAACCTTCTCCATCCACTGCTTACAGGACATAGCATTAGTTAAGAATATAGACTTTCAGTTGTCTTGGAATGTTAGTTGTGACGCGAAGCATTGAGCTTGTGGAAGTGCTTTCATGACAAACACCGAGTCCTTGTACAGAAAATTCCCAGATGGGTGCAACCAGCCATCACAAATATAACAAGGTCATGCAACACATCTGGGAGTTCAATGGTCGATCCTCATGGATAAAAGGCCTCTGGCAGAGCATAATACCCATTATTATAAAATTAAATTAAATTAAAATAACAACATATTCAGTTACACGTTTATACCGCTTATAAAAGGTGTCATCCGTTTGCACACCTTATATAATCATTAAGAACATCACACAAACTAGAAATACACAACAGTCTGTACTCAGTGTTCACATACACACAAGTACATTTGAGCAATAATACAATTAAAAAAAGACTGCTCAACGTAACGTTAATAGACACCTTACTTCACTTTAATAAAGTGTTAGTAAATACTATGACAACTGCGTTACAGAAAGATACAATTGCAATGCTCCTCTTTTACTATGGCTGTGATTATTATGATCAAGTAACGTTAACTAGGAATAGTAACGTTAATCAAGGTGGTTTTTAGCTAACTAAGCATCATTATTTCAGCAAACGTATTTTTCCTCCTCTTTAATTGGGCTAACTCTTTTCTCATTTTCTTGACTAAATATTGATTTTATTTCATAAATAGCTAACGTTAAGTTAGTTTCAATGTGGAGACCAACGGAGAGAACCGTTAGCTGAGTAAGCTAGGCTAATCAGTCAGGCTAACAGTAACGAGCGGACTACCATATCCGGTCAAAACCTTCTAAATAAACCCACCGATTGATAAAAACACCACTATCTCGATGCTGCGATTATCTACAACGTTAATCACTTAACACGCAACGCGTATATTTTAATCGTCCTCATCACTAGTTTGTTGCAAATACGTATATAACGTTGTGTTTTTTTAACGGCACAGTTCAAACCAAATCAAAGCACTTCCGGTCTCTTTACGCAACTGTCTAACGGCAGCTTCCGTCGCCATCCAGCGGCCGGCCTAGCCCCAGATTCCGGGTGTACGCGAACGCAGACACGGCGCTAACTGCGTGGGCAGGCGAACGGCGACATTAACGTTACGTACCAATCACACCCGATGCCATACATCTCGTTATAACGCAATACAACGTTGACTAAATCGAGCGAGAAAAGGAAGAAGAAGAAAAAAATTTGTCACCAACGGCTTCCGACAATTCAAAAAAAGAAAAACCGGTGCCCGACCCCTTGTAATCCCCCAGAAGCGGCGGCGACCGCGTCCACTCACCCGACGACCCCGGGGTTGTACTTCCTCGTCTTCCACGGCGTCCAGGTGCTCGCGCAGTTGCCGTTAGTGCAGTTCGAAAGCAAGTAATTCATCCCATAAGTGCTCGCTTTGTTGTCGCTTTTCCTGCGGCCCGGGTGGTGGTTGTGTGTGTGGCTCGCAGGTAAAGGGGGCTGCGCCTGGTGGCTTTTCACCCAGAGCTGCTGGAGATTGAACGCGGGGGGCTCCTGCAGGGGACGTTGGTGGTGGTGGTGGTGGTGCTGCTGGTGGTGGGAAAGGTTGACCTTATTGTCCACGCAGTCCCTCGCGTTCGGCTGCGGATTGGCACCCCCGGCGTTTATATTAACGTTCCCCGGTGCGTCCGCCGCAGTAGTCCTCTCAAGCGAGCAGCCGGACGGGGGGCTGTCGGTCCGGGACTCCCGCGAGGAGGACGAGGACACGGATCCCGTCTTCCGGGGGAGGCTTCCCCCCTCGGCCGGCGCCGCTGCGTGCGTCGCGGCGAAAGAGTTGTGTACATTCCCGTTGGACAGCGCTATCCCGAGCGAGGAGATCGCGGTGACGACGCCGCGATGGCCGCCGCCGCCGCCGTTGCTGCTGCTCAGAGCGGCGGTAACGTTGCCGTTGCCGGCGCTCTTGCCCGATGCCACCGCGGTCGCCACATTTTTCAAAACGTCCAACGCCGCGTAACTCACGCACTGGCTGATGTTCTGGTTGTGGAGCTGGTGCTGAGCGGAGAGCGTCCGTACTCCCTGAGAGGTCTCCCAGACGTGCATCCATAAGGCGTTCGCGGGTCCTTTCTGTTCGGGCTGAATCCAAGCTACCCTCGGATCCATTCAACTTCTTTTTCTCCGGTAACCCCGACCCAAGCACCCGCCCCCCCCCCTCCCTCCCTCCCCTTCACAAGTATCCGACGACCACTAACCAGCCCGCGGTGAGCCTGCGGCGCCGCCCGGAGACTTTAAACGTCGCTGGTGTGTCCGGGGCTAACGAAGGAGAAGTATTTAGACATTACACCGAATCAGGACCATTGATAAGCTCTCCCCGTTACACCGCTAGCTGTGGGCAAAAAAAAAATTGCTTGCCGTTTCCTACGGGAATTCAATATGGCGTATTCTCTTCAAAAGCAACGCGCATGCGCACTACGAGGGATTTCTTAAACATGACTGCGCCCCCCTGCACGCCCACACGCCCGTCCATCCGGCCGCTTCATGAATTGCACGGAATAAATGGATATCTTTTTTTTTTTTTTTTGAGATCCATTTTTAATTGAACATAAGGCAACAAAGTCCACCGAAAATAACCGTCAATAATAAATCAGTGTCCGGTGGTCCTGTGGCCCGTGCTGCAGGGCCCGGGAACCTTTTTTGTAAAGCCCACTCTATCCAAGTGGAAGGAGGGGAGGGGTGTGTGGGTTCACAGGGCATCCCCATCAAATGACACATGGCAGATTAATTTGTATTTCTAGATTTGGCATATATTTATATTTAAATTAAAACGATATATAACACAAATATGACCATTCAAAGAGGTGGATCTAGGGCCAATGAAGGAAAAGGCACGCACGAGATGCTCCGACAGAAAAATACCCCCACTCCACATATGCAACCCTACAAAATATAGAAAACCTCACTATTCAAAAAAAAAATCCCTTTATGCAAACATTAGAGTGGGACCTCCGGCCCTTGAAATGCCCGCTCACATACATAAAAACTCCACATCCACCCATCCCCCCCCCCTCCCCTGCCCCCCCCCAGCAACACAGGGTTTTATTTCTTCCCTGTTCATGCGTGAATGGAGCTCCTTTCTCCCCGTTTATTATTCCAGATGTGGGCTGCAGCCCGTGGATGCTCATTTTCAAAGGGGCAATACACAGCAGGTGGTGTTGATCCCATACTCAGGCCACCCAAACCACCCAGGCCCAGAAACAGCCATCCCCCGGCCCATTAGGCCCTGTGATGGAGAGGAGGCAGGCTGGATGAGGCAAAACCAGTACCTTCTGGGATGCGTATGCATGTAAAATAAAAGAGAGAGATAGAGAGAGCACGTCTTGCATAATGCCCGCCCCCCAACCCCTGCTACTCACGTGCAGCATGTGACATAGTCAAGGAAAACCCCCCCAGAGCAAAGTGCCAGCTAGGATATGCAGCTAACTGTATAACACACTCCGACATACAGCGCGCACACACACAGCTGCTCGATCGAGGCTCTTCTTTTCATCTCCCCCATCTGACGCCGTGTGAAACGCAGATTGATTAAGTTATTCCTCTCACATCTCATGTCCCAGTCTCGGCTCAAGCTAAAACGCCACCACTGACTGTGTGCCAGTGTGTGTTTGTGTGTCATTTCAAGGCTGGTTTGCCTCATTGTCAGCTTTTATGGGATTACCACATTGGTGGCAACCGGACCGTAGCGGGCAGATGACTAACACACACACACACACACACACACACACACACACACACACAGACCTGGAAAGGTCCACAGTATGCTTTCAGGCAAAACGGTAATAGCAGGTAACATTAAGGAAGCCTGTAGCCGGCATGCTGCTTGCATGATAATGAGGCCGCATGCATGTTCCAGGTATTTAACCTACTTTAGAGGAGAGCTGTATTTGCACATCAACAGGTATTTCACATTTCTACACATGAATATTTTGCCCGTGGGCTTTTATACAGTAAGAATGAGCCCAGCGAATATGGTGCAGCTCCAGCGTACCTGGAACCAGAAAATACCAGAATGGAACAGCCGTTTGGACCTGAAGGTGTAGCGATGATGACTAGTGACATCTACAGGCGAGGACAATTTAACGCTTGTTTCATTTAAACACTGGCACCTTCTGCAGACACATCATTTTCTTTTTGAATTTTATGCATTTCACACATTTGAATGCTGAAAAACGTGTATTAACCGGAGCACATCTTAGATATACCTCGGCTGTGAGAAAATGGGTGACTGTACCAGCGTCTCGTTCACTCACACGCTTTTTATCCCAAAAAAAAATCCATCGGCGCCGGCATGAAGATAAACGGCGTTATCCTGCCAGTAAATACCAACTGTGTAATATAGTGATGCAATCAGAGGATACGGACTCGGGAGACGTGAAGGATGTCGCCCTCACGGCCTTCAGGGACACGCAGCCTTCTTTCCTCATCACACTCGGACGGCCTCGTGTTTATTGACGAGTAAAAAACAAAGCACAAACTCTTTTGAAAAACAACACATTAATACGATCCATACTGCCGCGACCTTGGCTGTGACATGCCGTCCGCTGTGGGGGGGGGATAGGTGCACTGTGGAGCGTCAGTGTGAATGATGTTGTTTTCACTTGCACACAATAATATGAAATGTGAAAGCAATATGATAACAAGGCTTGTCTCTATTGTGAAATATTTCAAAGAAACACTGAAAAAGAAAGTAGATCGCATTATTGGTATCAAAAACATATAGAAAACCGCTAACTCACAATCAAATGAAATTATAAGGCTCATGGTAAAAGTAATTAAGACAGTAATAGAATAGATGAGATGTTAAGATTTATTGCATTGTTCACAGACTTCCTCGTTTCATTCGGTCACACACAAACGCGCCCATTCAACGTGCTTCGGCTGTCTCGCACTCGGTCACATCCTCAGCAGCTCTTCTTCGTCTCGCTCCTCCTCAGGAACCCTTCACAGGAGCGATGGGATGAGGCAACACCTTTTATTTATCAAGGGGTCACGCGTGACCTCATCTCTGGACTTTGAGAAGATGAGAAAAGTCCTTCTGAATGCGTCCACGGCAACAATAAGTTGGGAATTCAAGGCCTTCATGTGTGGGACCTTACAGAGATGCATTCGCAGACAGACGAGTCTGGAGAAACTTTAAGTGTCTGCTTTGCATTTCCTGGTTTATGTTCCATCTGGGAGAAAATGCAGATCAGCAAAGAGTCTTAAAAGTGTTTATTGCTGTAGCAGTGTTATAAATCCACTGTATCATGTTGAGGAAAACCTCATCCGCTGTCTTACTTCCTCTGGAGGAGCCCTAAACGTTGCCTCAAGCAAACACAGCTCTCGCAGTACGTTCAGTCCACGGTTGCTGTGATGATTTTGCTTTATGGACATTGAAGTATTAAGCAAAGATACAGTGTATCCAGAAAGGATTCACAGCGCTTCACTTTTTCCACATTTTGTTATGTTACAGCCTTATTCCCAAATAGATTAAATTAATTATTTTCCGCAACATTCTACACACAACAACCAATAATTACAAAGTGAAAACAGTTTTTTGCAAATTTTTGCAAATCAGTTAAAAATAAAGAATGAAAACATAACATGTACATACGTACTCACAGCCTTTGCTCAATACTTTGTTGAAGCACCTTTGGCAGCAATTACAGCCTCAAGTCTTCTTGGGTATGATTCCACAAGCGTGGCACACCTATTTCTGGGCAGTTTCTCCCATTCTTCTTTGCAGAACCTCTCAAGTTCCATCAGGTTGGATGGAGAGCGTCGGTGCACGGCCATTTTCAGATCTCTCCAGAGATGTTCAATCGGGTTCAAGTCCGGGCTCCGGCTGGGCCACTCAAGGACATTCACAGAGTTGTCCCGAAGCCACTCCTTTGTTATCTTGGCTGTGTGCTTCGGGTCGTTGTCCTGTTGGAAGATGAACCGTCGCCCCAGTCTGAGGTCCAGAGCGCTTTGGAGCATGTTTTCATCGAGGAGGTCTCTGTACATCGCTGCATTCATCTTTCCCTCAATCCTGACGAGTCTCCCAGTTCCTCCCGCTGAAAAACATCCCCACAGCGTGATGCTGCCACCACCATGCTTTACTGTAGGCATGGTATTGGCCAGGTGATGACCAGTGCCTTGTTTCCTCCAGACATGACACTTGGCATTCAGGCCAAAGAGTTCAATCTTTGTTTCAGCAGACCAGAGAATTTGGTTTCTCATGGCCTGAGAGTCCTTCAAGTACTTTTTTGCAAACTCCAGACGGGCTGTCATGTGCTTTTCACTGAGGAGTGGCTTCCGTCTGGCCACTCTACCAAACAGGCCTGATTTGTGGAGTGCTGCAGAGATGGTTGTCCTACTGGAAGGTTCTCCTCTCTTCGTAGAACAACGCTGGAGCTCTGTCAGAGTGACCATCGGGTTCCTGGTCACCTCCCTGACTAAGGCCCTTCTCCCCCGATCGCTCAGTCTGGCTGGGCGGCCAACTCTAGGAAGAGTCCTGGTGGTTCCAAACTTCTTCCATTTCCGGATGATGGAGGCCACTGTGCTCATTGGGACTTTCAATGCTGCAGAAATCTTTCTGTACCCTTCGCCAGATCTGTGCCTCGATACAATTCTGTCTCTGAGGTCTACAGATAATTCCTTGGACTTCATGGCTTGGTTTATGCTCTGATATGCACTGTCAACTGTGATACCTTATGTAGACAGGTGTGTGCCTTCCTCAATCATGTCCAATCAACTGATCTGACTGAACAGATTTGCAAAAATTTGCAAAAAACTGTTTTCACTTTGTCATTATGGGTTGTTGTGTGTAGAATGTTGAGGAAAATAATGAATTTAATCCATTTTGGAATAAGGCTGTAACATAACAAAATGTGGAAAAAGTGAAGCGCTGTGAATACTTTCTGGATGCACTGTAAAAACAAAACTAGTTAAAATGACGGTTTGAAGTGTTGCTTGCGTCCAGCTCAGATGGTTTGTTCTTCTCTGCCGTTGTAAGAACCGGTACCTTTTAAAGCCTCCCGGTGCCCCGAGGAGTCTTTAGAAAAGAAAGGGAACGAGTGCCTTCCTATGTTTGGGGTAGTCCTCGAACTTAGCGAGGTACCATCTGTAGGAAGAAACAGAAAGAGCCGGTTCCTTTGGTCAATACAAGTAGTGTGCAGCCCACTCCATGAAAACCTGCTTACTCTGCATGTGTGTGGACCCTTACTTGTGGTGGGCCACAGCTCTGCTGGCGAGGACCACTGTGGTGAAGACGGCAAACGCTGAGCTGTGAATGGAGCGGCCGGCCAGAGCGAAGCCGGCCCACTCGGTTATCTCCCCCAAGAAGTTGGCTCCAGACACGTATTCGAACATGCCGCCTGCGGGTGGACGACATGGCCGTTAGGACGGGCATGCTTCTCTTTGCATGCAGCCACTCAGGCGACAACGGCCCAAATATTTCCGCGTGGTAACTGAAATAACATTGTGTTCCGTCAAATGTTTCTATGAAATCATCATAAGTAGCGGAAGACCTTTGACCCCCGTTATTATCAGTCCATCCTGGAGTACAAAAATTCAGAGGAATTACCAGACTGCTGACATCCAGGGATCACGAGAACGGTACAGGTCGATATCGGGAAACACACGTCATTATTATTACAATTATGAAGATACAGACGGCAATTTATCAAACGAAATAAAACAAAGCCAAATTGCTTTCATTGGCCTAACGAGTGCAACATCTGGAAGGAGAAGAAGAAAAGCTATGGAATAAGGAGTCATCCATCTTTGCTTAGCAGGTGCATGTGCATAATAATCCACCGGGTTTTGAAATCAGCAGTCCTCTTGTTGGTGTTGGCCCATGAAGCAGGCAGCTCTCGGGCGACGGCAGAAGAACTACAAATCTGTCCTAGATTAGTTCTGACATTACAACGTTAAAAGGTCAAAGGCCATCCGCGGTGAGCGTGGTGGGCGGACAGAGCACATCCTGGTAATGTCGACGCCCGTAGCCGTCTCTTGGTACGAGGTACCACTCTATCTTATGTATCAGTAAAAAAGTGGATTGTTTTCAAATCAGGAATATAGAAACACGCAAAGAGGACAAGTACTGTGAGCGGAGGCAGCGGGATCCTTTATAAAAAACCTAATGTCAGGGTTCAGGGAGGGCGAGGCGGGGAGAGAAAGATAACCACCCTGTGACACCCTGTGATTGGGCTCACAGCGGGATTCTGTGTAATGGGAAGAGCACGCTGGGAAATTAGCATCTAGCTCTGTGTTCGAGGACCACAGGACCAGTGCCGGGACGTGATTACGCCTTTATTGTCACCCAGCGACAGGGGAGGGGAAAAGGCCTCGCTCTAAACCGGAGTACAAGTATGTACCTTTGGAATGGCATCGCAATTACTGAACCCATGTCGCCTTGTATTCTTGGAAGAAGAAAAAAAATTCCTATTTAAAGACACATCCAACTAAAGGGTTGCAGGCTGAGAGATTACGGCAGGGCGATAATGCAACGTGATAATGTCGTCACACAAGAAAAAACGTTTTGTTCAGGGATTTCTTTTGCATTATTGATGTGTAAAACAGCCTTTAAAAGCCCAACATTGTAGAGGAGTAAAAGTACAATGTATATTTATACATATATATATATATATCAGGCATGAAAAAGGGGCAGGGGTTTTCAACTAGTTTTGTCCCAGAGATTTCTTTGAGTCATTCGTTGACGGGGGGGTGGTAAGATATTACCGACCATTTTACCGACTCGGTTCTTTGAATCTCGTTCAGTAAAATGAACGAATCTTTCTTCGAGTCATTCGTTGATCGATTGACCGTTGATTCGTTCCCGACCGTGTCTTCGGGTCAATGATTCGTTCATCGTACTTTGAAGTCAGAATGCGTATCGGGTTGGCAGCTCTGCTTATTGATAGAACGGTGGAGCACTTTACCTTCTGCCTCGTCAGTCCCCTCACCTCAACATCTACCTCCTCAAGAACGCTGGCGTTAGCTAATCATTTCCCACCGGAGCTTTAGCTAGCTGGCCAACGTCGCGTTCTCTCCTGCTGCGTTAAATGACTCAACTCATCAAGCTGTAGCTAACGTTAGCGAAGTCTATGTCAACAAAGCTCATGGGTAACTTAGATATACCAGAAAATATTAAAATCCTGTTCGCAATTCGCTGAATATGAATATGAATACCCCCCCCCAAAAAAACCTCATTGAATCTACACGATTGACGTAGGTCACCTATTTTGGTTTCAAAACGGCAAATTTCGCCGAAAAGGTGAGGGATTTTCATGCCTGATATATAAATGCAAATAAATGTGTATTTCTCGCAGTAATAGAAGCAAAAGCCGTGTGAACCAACTGCTCTCAGGCCTGAAGCCCTTACCCGTGGGAATCTTGTAAGCGGTCTCTCCGGGCTTCCTCAGGTTCCTCAGGATGTGGTCAGAGTGCACATTCACCACCCAGCCGAGCAGCCACAGCAGAGAACCTGGAGGACCAGAGTCTGCTTTAGCGTCGGGAGACAAATACTTACTTTCATTTGTTTTCACTACTCAATGGTTCAAATCTTTATGCTGAGCTAAGCTAAGCTAATCACCTCCCGGCTCCATTCTTCATACACAGATGTGACGTATTTATTTATTCTTTTGTGGAATACTTTTATAGTCATGCACAGCTACAGCTAGAGCATAACTGTGATAAAGAAAACCTATTTCTAAATTGACAGGTTTTCCGCTTTAAAAGCAACGGGAGCCATAAAAACAAACTGAGTCTTGGTTCAGGAACGTGGGAAGAACCGGCAGTGGAGCAGAAGCCAAAATGAAAAGATGGACAAAAGAGTCTCAGTGACAGCTGTGTGTTTAGGCAAGGACCGGCCATTTCATTTAAACTAGAAAAGGGAAGAGGAAAAGAGGGTTAAAAAGGGGGGAACTGGGAGGGCTGGCAGGAGATTGTTATCCTGACTGTGCATCTCACTCGGCTCCTCATCAATCAATCAAGCACTTTCAGCCGGTGCTATTTATGTACCATTTTATACTAATCAGCACACACTAAACTAGATTAAGATAATACATTAAGTTAAATGAAATGTAAATGTTTAAACTAAGTATTCTTATTATGGTTCACACGCCCTCTCCCATCATTGTACATCGTGAGTAAATGATTGCAAATGACAAGAAAAAACGTTAGGGCGGTCAATAGAAAAAAATTAACTATTTAAAATCGCACAGTTTGAAATTTATTAATCTCAATTAATGAATGTTGTTGTTGTTGTTATAATGTTTTTAATTTGTTTTTCTTAATCTTAAAATATATAAAACTACTCTTGGAGGCCGAAGAAAAACATGTTGAACTCGCGACTTTTCCTGCCATGTTCACTTTGCTCTCAACTCTCCATCATTTGACGGCTGTGTGTCAAGTGCCGACATCGTCCCCACATTTAGCCAGAACGTTTCCAAACCGCGCTCTTTTAGGGGCACAGCGGGGGTCCTCTGCAGACTGTGTGCCGCGCAGGGGTAACGTTACATGTTGAGATGGAACTGCACAGTTCTTCTGCTGTATGTCCTGCATGTTTATTTTACTTCCAATGCAAACAGCTCTCTCCATCTTGAGTTAACGGACTGCAGCTAGCGGCCGCTTCGTTCCCGCGGTCAACTACTATTGTGTTGCATTAACCTTGGCCACATTAATCGCATAGAATAATGCGTTTATGTTGACAGCCCTAAAAAAAAAAACATGTTTTGATTTAATTTCTCATATGCTACAAACATTGATATTCTGACTTTGTATCTCAAAGAAAATAATGGAGGTTTATCATTATTTTAGTAGTATAATAGTATACTAACACTATCAAATTAAATGGAGACACTAACCTCCTTTGAATCATATTTCTGTACTACTACATTTTTTTTAGATAAGTGATAATTCATTATAATGACGAACATGTTTTTCTTATCCACTACAGTGGCGGAATTAGGCCTCCATAAAAACCAGATTGAGCAGAAAGTGTCCCTACAGGGGGGGCAGCAGACACAGAACACCCACCTGCGATGAGGCGTGGATGTGTAACCCAGTCTGCAGGGTACTCGGCGTAATGGCTCAGGTACCTGATCTGCATGTACCCATTATAGATGCAGAAAACAAAGGCCAGGGCGAATGAGACGAATGGCGTTGGTTTACCTCCTCGGATTAGAAAAGGATAAATAAGAGATCTGCAGCAGAAAGAACATAATATCAGGAACAAAAACTAATGCCGTCCAGATGTGTGCATGCGTGATTCCATTCAAGTGGCTTCCACGCACATTGGAAGTTACTTGGTATTCCTGCTGGTGGGACTAGTTGGCCAAGTCCTCCTAATCACCACCACTTCCAATGACCTACCTGTGGACATAGTGGCAGAAGTACATGGCAATGAGCAGCCGGTTGGGCAGCAGGGAGGTTTTACCAGAGGACGTCCACACTACCAGACACAGCGGCACCAGGAAGGCAGGCAGCTCCTGAATGAACCACGCCAACCGGGCGTTCACCGGGAATCCGTACCTGCTGGTTGCATAGCGCCCGTACGGGACGTTTTCAAAGAGCAGAGTCACAAACGTGCAGGCTGCCATGACCAGCATGAGGTAAGCCATGCAGTCCAACGCGTAGCGCTCCTCTTCTTCCGAGGAGAAGAGCCGCGAGAGGAGCGCGTCCATGGTGGGCGAGCGGGCCGGTGTTGCAAAAAACAACAAGCGCCAGAAATGGAAATGTCAGCGTTATTAATGTGTTTGCAGCTGGAAGGCGGTGTCGCCAGCGCCCTCTCGGGTTCGCTCTGCAGCGCGATTGGTCGACGCGGAAGAACGCGTCACGCGTTCCCCGCTCGGGACCAATCACAGTGCGCGAACAGACAGACGGCATCCGGTGTCATCCATCCACGTTATTCAACCGATAAAGACTCATGATTCTGTTTCAATAAATCACCTGCTGTAAACAATGAGCGGTTACTGCATTCATATATTATTTTAGATTAATATAATACGTATGCTTTCAAGCGGTTAGACAATCGAGCCGGAGTGAACGCAAAGTATTAGATATACAAAAATAAATAACATACTGAATTTGAAAGTCAATAGCATAATCATTTCGTATTGCAATGTCAAATTTAAATTCCTATTTGTTGAAAAAAATCGCACGAACGCCCCTCAAATCTTTTTTTTCTTCTTCACTTTATTTCAGGCACAGGCCATCGCCACCTCTACAGGGGTCCTGAGTCACGTGCGTCAGAGGCAACACGTTTCGAGGGAAACACGGCGTCGCAGTTGCCCCAACGCAGGTCCCACGGTCGTTTCATCCGACCTACAGGCTTCGTTTTCCGCCCTCCGGACCGCCACGACGTTCCGCAGGCTCTTCTCCAGAGTCGTCTGCTATCACAACAACAACAACAACAACAACAACAACATGGGGAAGAGGAGCAGACAGCGGCAGAAGAACCAGCCGACCGGCAGGGACGACAGGGACAACGCAGTAAGCATCGCCGTTCTGCAGCTCCAACTTCTGCGTATTGCTTAACGCGTGAACTGCATTATTTAACGTATAACATCTGTATTTACTGGACGCAGAGGTGGTCTTGAACTTGAAACGTAGTCACGGAGCTGCGCAAAAAAAAAACAGCTGCAACTTCTGCTGTCAGCTGCTGTTCCACCAGGCAACATGGGAGCTTACTTACTTACGTTAGTCTAGATTATTACGTGCTCGGTGGGGAGTGTGAGGCTGATTACACGTCGGCACGCATGCAGGTGTAGGACCTGATTGTGAATTACGACATTATTCATTATCCATCATGAGACAATACCAACAATACCAAGAACACGCCTGATTGGCAACTTTCTGAATGACATCGATGCAACTTTATTCTCATACAGAGTATGTATTTAAATCACCAGGTGCTTCTCTGGTTATGCTCATCATACATTAGAATAACATATTACTAACTATGTTCCCTGTGTGTTCAGGGCTGGGGAGCCGGGTATGCGGACATTGTCAAGGAGAATAAGCTGTTCGAGCACTACTACCAGGAGCTGGGCCTGGTGCCTGCTGGAGAGTTTGAGCAGTTTATGGACGCCATGAGGGAACCGCTGCCGGCAACCATCCGCATCACCGGGTACAAGAGGTGAGCGTAAAAACACACAAACGTGGTCTCCTCATCTGGACCCAAGCGGCGGTGCAAGGTCGTGGGTTTGAACACTTTGGGTCTTTGGTTAATGCAAGTCTCCTCTTTGTCCAACCCCAGCCATGCCAAGGAAATCCTCCACTGTCTGAAGGACAAATACTTTAAGGATATTCAAGAGGTGGAGATAGACGGTCAGAGGATTGAGGCTCCGCAGCCTCTCGTTTGGTACGATCTCCTGCTTTACGCGAGGCAAAGATCCTCACGGCGCACAGAAACCAGAAGATCGGTACATGTTGTGTCTTTCCCCTCCAGGTATCCCGATGAGCAGGCCTGGCACACCAACATGAGCAGGAAGATCATCAGGAAGTCTCCCCTGCTGGAGAAGTTCCACCAGTTCCTGGTCAGCGAGACCGAGTCGGTGAGTCAACACAAACAAAACAGAGGCTTTCCCACACTGGACCGTGGCGCTTTAGCTACAACAAGAGTATTGTGGCTGCATTTATAAAAGTCCCCTTGGAACAAAGCATCGTTTTTGTGGTTGTACATTCAGGGTAACATCAGCCGACAGGAAGCCGTCAGTATGATCCCGCCTCTCCTCCTGAAGATTGAGTCCCACCACAAGGTGAAAGCGCCGCCCTCAATTAGGGCTAAAGATAGCACATCTGTCCTCCTTCCCTCCTGTGTTCCACACTCCTTTTGGCTCAAAAACAGCTGACGTCCGTGCGTTTCTGTGCAGATCCTGGACATGTGTGCAGCTCCGGGGTCAAAGACGGCCCAGCTGATCGAGATGCTCCATTCGGACATGGACGTGCCTTTTCCTGGTAAGACGCACGCATTTAAAGCCAGGAATCACGCCTCCGTAAGTGATTTCTGTGAGATAATCAGCAGCCTCTGACACTTAAACAGCAGCTACCTACTCCTCTAACCCCAGAGGGCTTTGTCATTGCCAACGACGTGGACAACAAGCGCTGCTACCTGCTCGTGCACCAAGCCAAGCGCCTCAACAGCCCCTGCATCATGGTGGTCAACCACGACGCCTCCTGCATCCCCACGCTCAACATCGACTTGGACGGCAAGAAGGACGTCCTCTTCTACGACCGCATCCTGTGTGACGTTCCCTGCAGGTCAGCATGCGTCCGCGTGTGTGTGTGTGTGTGTGTGTGTGTGAGGGCTGCAGGAGTGAGAGGAGGGGTTGGCAGTCTGGAGGAAGTAGATCAGAGAGGATCAAGGAGATCATTTTCTGTCCAAATGAAGGAAGGCGGGGGGGATCCTTGAAGGTCGGCAACATTTCATGGCCAAAACCGAGCTGCATTTGTTTGCAAATGTTGTCCAGAGGGCAGCGAGGATGTGAACAGTCAGCTGAAGGCCTCCTTTTTAGATCGATCATGCTCGACCCGTGACTGGTGTCTGTGCTCTCTGTGCTCTGCAGCGGGGACGGCACCATGAGGAAGAACATCGACGTGTGGAAGAAGTGGACGACCAGCAACAGCCTGCACCTCCACGGGTGAGATGGGGGGGGGGGTTGTTTGTGCCTTCGTGACACTATAGGAATTCACGCACTCGTGTGGTTGGTTGTTTGGCTTCAGGGGAGCGTGTCTCTCTGTGTGTGTTCACCAGGCTCCAGTTGCGAATTGCGGTGCGCGGCGTTGAACAGCTGGCTGTGGGGGGGAGGATGGTTTACTCCACCTGTTCACTCAACCCTATAGAGGACGAAGCCGTCATCGCGGCACTGCTGGAGAAGAGCGAAGGTGAGAAGCGCTCACAGGGCCGTCGTGTTTAATGCATCATCTGTTCGCATCGTTTTATTCAAATGAAAGTTTTATTTTTCAGGTTTTTATTGATGACTAAAGTAAACAAGGCAAAAGTAAAAATTTCTCAAAGGTGGAAACACACATCCGCAGACTTTTTCTTAAATGTCTCTAGCGACGCTGAATGAGGAGGCTCCCAGGGAGGAATGTTTAGTAACTCCACCTCGTTGACTCCCATCTCCTTCCCTCCCCAGGAGCGCTGGAGCTGGCCGACGCCTCGGCTGACCTGCCGGGTCTCAAGTGGATGCCCGGGGTCTCCTCCTGGAAGGTACGGGAACCCCCGGCCAGAAGGGGAAAGGGGAGTTTACCGACCGACTGTTAACGGTTTTCTCCCCTGCAGCTGATGACCAAAGAGGGCCAATGGTTCTCGGACTGGTCCGAGGTTCCGGGCCATCGTCGCACGCAGATCCGGCCCACCATGTTCCCGCCGACCGACTCAGAGAAACTCTCCGACATGCACCTGGAGAGATGGTACGTGCAAGCGCTGCTGTTCAGTGTGACGCGGGCGAATGTTTAGGGCCGCGAGCACTGTGTGCGTGGGTGCATGTGCGCACCTGCCCTCTCGCTCCATGGTGGATGATGTCATTGTAGGTGCTCAGGTGGGCCCAGCAGAGGGCGCCATTGCCCCACACTGCTTCAGCATCTTTTATTTTATTGCCTATTGGAGGGGAAAAAAAATAAACTGTGTTCATCGACACAGTGGGCGGCCCCATTACACTCAACGCCATGATGATTGTTTGTGTGTGTTTCACTGCCAGCATGAGGATTCTGCCACATCACCAGAACACCGGAGGTTTCTTTGTGGCTGTGCTGGTGAAGAAAGCCCCCATGCCCTGGAACAGAAGATATCCCAAGGTGCTCCATCACTAAAGGGCGCACTTAACAGATGATTACATTGTCATTGTCCTGTGCTTGAGGGGGGAAATGGAGCAGCATTCAATCTCATGTCCCCCCCCCCCCTCTTCCCACAATGCATCATTCACCTGTTGCTAAAGCACAGCTGGGGCTTCTTTTCTCTGCAGCTGAAGAGGGACGTCTCGTCCGCCTCAGCGGTCCAGGCTGAAGGCTCCCCGGCGGCCTCGACACCCACAGACGCGCCCCGCCCCCCCGACAGCGTCCCTGCTGCCGCGGAGGGGGAGATGGAGGTGGAGGGGGGAGGCCCAGAGGGAACGGTAGACAAGGAGGCAGGGGCCCAGAAAAGAGCTCTCTCTGCCCAGGAGACCGCCGCTAAAGTGGGCGGGTGAGTCGTGAGCTACTGAACAAACTAAAAACCACCAGGGCTTCTTGAGCCATTATGATGAAAAGGGATTACTTTTAATGAGAAATGACTTAGATGAACCTCACCAGTCCTGAGGTAGATGATTCTAAGCCTTTTCTATAACTCACTGTCTGCCATGTCCACATTAAAAGCTCCGATATAAAAGCTTTTCTGGAACATTTGACATGGGACATTTTTTTTTTTTTTAATTTAAATAAGTCAATAATTAGTTAATTATAACTGTCTCCTCTCAGACCTCCAGCCTCTAAGAAGATGAAGCTGTTTGGTTATAAAGAAGACCCCTTTGTGTTCCTCACTGAAGAAGACCCCGTCTTCACCACCATACAGTGAGTCACACACACACACACACGCGACACTTTCCACGTCCCCTCACCCAAATTTTTTTGTTTTGTCCGTTTTTAATCTAGATCGTTCTACGACCTGGCACCCAACTTCCCCAAACTCAACGTGCTGACCCGGACTCACGATGGCAAGAAGAGACACTTGTACATGGTGTCCAAGGAGCTGCGCAACGTGCTGCTCAACAACAGCGAGCGCATGAAGGTGTGTGTGTGTGTGTGTGTGTGTGTGTGTGTG